GAAAGAAGTGCCACTCCCCTGAGATCCCCGTGTTATGAGAAGCCTGGGCTATGGCGGAGAGACCCTGGAGGATGAGACTGCATGTGGAGAGAGAGGCCATGGAACCCTGAGATGGCAGACATATGCATGAAGAATCTAACTTGGAAGTAGATCTTGCAGCCCCAACGACCAGAAGAGGCCATGTGGGTTGTTGATGAATTACCCAGTTGAATCCTTTCAGAATTCCTGACTTGTGGAATTGCAAGTAAAAGAAAATGGTTTCAGGTGATTACATTTTGGTGTTGTTCATAGGCAGCACTAGAAACAGGACTCAGGCCCTAAGCTAGAAATTCAGTTAAATAAAATAGACATAATTCTTGACTAAAGGGACTTATAGTCTAGTGGAGGTGACAGACAGTTAATTAAACATGCAATGATAATGCAGTTTTCTCCAAGCTCCAGGATAGAAGATATCTAGGGCACTGTGGGAACATGTAGAATTGGCTCCAACTTAAAGTTGGGGCATCAGAGAAAGACAGTATGGAGAGTATCTTCCATTTAATCTTGGATGGAAAGGATACACAAGTATTAGTTCCACAAAAGAGAGGGGATAATGGTGTCCCAGGAAGATGAGACAGCCAGTGGAAAGACCTCAACATGGCTGAGAGTGCTGGTCGTTCCAGCACTTTACTGTTTGGAAATCTGGAGTAAAAGCAACAGCCACAGTGAGGAGGCGAGTGCAAATGGCTAAGCATGTGGAAGCATGCAGAGGTCAGATCACAAAGAGCCTTGATTGCTCCATTAAGGAATTATGCCTTTATTCTAAGGGAAATGAGAGATCATTGAGAGATTTTAAGCAGTGGAGCGACTTGATCAGTGTCGCATTTTAGGAAAATGCCTCGGCACAGTCTGCAGCAAGACGATTAGGATGAAGAAAGGGCAGGGCTAAAGGCAACAAGACCACTTATGGACCATTACTGTAATAGAGACAAGAGAAAATGGCTGGAGGAAGTAGGAAAGTGCCTTTATGGCTGGAGATACGTGCATTGCTCTGTTCAATCATCAAGCAGTAAAAATCTGCAGGAACAGGTACTTGGCTATAAGGGTCTGATACTTTGGAATGAAATTTATAGAGAAATAACTATCTGTCCTTAATGAATATATCATTAGTGGAGTGACAAGAAACAGAAGTCATCTTCTAAATGGGGAGGCTTCCAAATAGGCTAAGGGTTTGAGAAGAGGCTTGACTCAAAGACTTCACTAGAGATGGGAATTACAGCATCGTGTGTACTATCAAAAAACTAGACATGACTCATATGTCCAATATTAAGGAATTTTTTAAATAAATTACAGTACACATTTAAGGTGAATGTCTAAATAGTAATTGGCATGGAAAAATTTACTCTTCAGTGAAAACAGTACTTGATAAGATTATATTGGAAAATATATCATCACATCACAAATTCAAAGCAATGTGAGATTATATAGAGATGAAGGTCAGAAAAGATCTTTACTGAGGACTTATCAGTGACAATTTCTGACTACAGAGGTCATTGGTACTTCTATTTTCATTTTATATGCATTTTCAAAAAATTTTAGGTCAACATGTAGGATACCCCTTTAGCACAGAAGAACAGTAGTAGTTTTTTTGTTTGTTTGTTTAATGGGCTTTCATCTGCTTCTTTTTCAAAAATATTTTCAGGCAAATTTAACATTTTATTGTTTACTTTTATTTTTTGCTGTGCTGCACAGCAGGTGGGATTTTAGTTCCCCAACCAGGGATTGAACCTGTGCCCACTGCCTTGAAGCGTGGAGTCTTAACCACTGGATCAGCAGGGAAGTCCCATGGGCTTTCATCTACTTCTCATTAGTGTCCAGGGTTGTTTCCAGCAGCAATCCTAGAAATATGATTCTTAATACCTTCATAGACTGAAAGTCACACCTTTTAAAATACGCTGAATGTAGTCAAAGAGGATTTTTGGTTCAGGTACCCAGTGCATTTCCCAAGTATACATGTTCACCTTGAATTCACTCCCCTAAAGCAGTAGCAAGTAAGTCAACTTCACATTCTCCTCTAGTAAAAGATTCCGCTTATCAGATTTTTACTGAAGAAAGCTTTGTGGAACTTGATGACAAGAGCAGGATATAAGCACTGCCCTCAAAGAGCTTTTGATTTAAACAGGGCAAGAGACACAAGTCGCCAACACTAATGCAACATGAAAACCTGATTATTGTGGTAGCAGAGCGGTGAACAGACCATTATGAAGAGTAAAGAACAAGAGGAGTTGATTTTTGCCAGGCTGCAAGAAGAAATCTGCATAAGTGATACATCTGAACAGAGCTTGGAAAGAGAAGTGCTGGCCAGGCCATCAGAGAAACAGCATGTGCCAAGACACCCATGCTCAGTGAGGACACTAGGGATTTTGGTGACAGTCATGGAACCAAGAGCAGCCTGACCCCCACCGCTAGCTCCAGAGAGGCCTTCTGTGGGCTGGTTCCTGGCATTGCTGACAAGGTGTTGTTGAGTTCAAGGTAAATTCAGGGAATTTCAAATGGACTAATTAGAAAAGTGGATGTGGGGAAGTTTTGGGAGGGAAGAAGTAAGTAAAGGAGAAAGGACTGTAAAAGGGATTAAAACAGGGCTAAATAGTAAGACTTGGCTCCGAATGGGGAGTACCATTACTAGACTGGTGGGTAAAGAAAACCAATGTGGAGAGTGGACAGAGAAGGTGAGGTAAGTGGTGATCAATGCAGGGATACAACTGTATTTAAAGGGACCAGGACTGAGGGCCTGCCCCAGGGGCTCTAGGAAAGGATGCATAGGAACAAAATCAAGAGATTTTGGAGTTAGACATGAAGGGACTTGGTGAATAATTTATTTGGGGGAATGGTAGTAAGATAATGGAATATTAAAATTAGGCTGACCGGGATGGGGAATACATGTAAATCCATGGCTAATTCATCTCAATGTATGACAAAAACCACTGCAATGATGTAAAGTAATTAGCCTCCAACTAATAAAAATAAATGAAAAAAAATAAAATAAAATTAGGCTGACCCCCTAATTTTTAAAAATAATTCTTATTATTTTTATTATTATTTATTTTTATTTATTATTTTATTATTTATTATTTATTAAATTACTTATTATTGTTGTTGTTATTTATTATTATTTATTAAAATTTAATCCATGGCTGATTCATGTCAATGTATGACAAAAACCACTACAATATTGTAAAGTAATTAGCTTCCAACTAATAAAAATAAATGAAAAAAAATAAAATTAAAATAAAAATATTTTAATTAGGAAATTAAAAGAAGGCTTTAGATTGATGATTCAGAGGTTACTTTCTGAAGCCTGATGGAAGTAAATGGTATAAGCCAGCATTCAGAGGACTGAGGTGTGAATAAGAATTAGGAAAGTAAAAGGGATCCAAGAATCTTACGGAGGAGGAGAGACAAAGAGCAGGATAAAGGGGAGGCTAAGGAAAGTTTAAAAAGTGGTAGAGTTAACAGTAAGGAGAAAGGATTATCAAGAGGAGAGGGCTGAAAAGGCAAGATAGATAAGCTGATTTTTTATTGTGATCAAGAAAGGTGAAGAGGTTGACCTAAGGAAAACAAAAGAAGAGCTTGCCAGTAAAAAGATACTGGGTACCATTTGTAACACAGAGAAGGATGGTGAGGAAATAGGTAATTTGAAAGAATGAGAAAAGAATGTTGAGATGTTTCAGAGCTAACAGCCTCTATTAGCATCTCATTTTCTCTGAATAAGAGTGGCAGCAGAGATGGCTGTGACCTTAATAGGGAAAAGAGATGTCTTATTTGTTCTCAATCTTCCTGAAGTTCCATGGGTTAATAACATTAAATTTAAATGTCTGGCAATCCGACTTCCCCCTTGTCACGCAGAAGAAAATTTAACTACTTCCTTCATTTTACAGAGTATACGAGTTAAATTTGGTAATAACCTCTTACTGATAGAATAGTTCAAAGCACTGCAAATTCTGTTTTGATCTACAGAATTCAAGCAGCATAAACCAGAATTTGTTATTCATTCAAGAATACGGAAGGGAGATCTTCTGGGCAAATAATATAGTTTCAAATGATATTAGGGAAACAGAAAATAATATATATATATATAAAATGTGTCAAAGACAATAAAATACTACAAACAAAATCATCAACAATGAGAGAAGTGCTGACATGATGCAGTCATAGCTTTTATGTGGTAGAAATGACAAGTGAAGGATTTATGCATAACAAATGTGCTGGTTGGCAATGCTGAATACATAGGTTAAAAAATCTAAGGCATACACACAAAGCCGATTTTTGATCATGATCAAGAAAGGTAAAGAGACTGACCTTTTCAAAAGAACAAAAGAAGAGTTTGCCAGGAGGAAGATACTGGGTACCGTTTGTAACACAGAGGAGGATGGTGAGGAAATAGGTAATTTGAAAAATAATTTGAAACATACTATTAGTAGCTTAGACAAAAGGACTGTAAGCTAACATCTCAACCAAAGTAAAGATACCTGAAGTCAACACAAAATGAATATACCAAATTCATCCTGTAACATTACAGCTTCTGAAGACAAATCACTCTTCAGTCTTAATTTGAAAAGACAGGAGGAAAATCTCTCCTTCACAGACTAAAGACATGGCATGGCTACGCATAAAGAAAACTAAAATACAAAGCCACCCATCGTCAATAAGACGTTCTAAGATTAGCAACCCATATATTTACTACATGATCTCCATGTGTTTATGAATGCAATTATCCTAAGTGGGTGAGAATTAAGGCACATTATTTTATGGTTGCAAGTTCACTGGGATCATTTAATCTAATGTTCTGATCAACAATATTACTTGATATGCTAATTACCAGGGAGGGCTTCCTGTGGGATGATACTGGAAAAAAGCCCCACGTGACCCGAAAAGTACTTCGGGTGAGAGCATTCTGTAAATGCCACGCAGGAGTGGAAATGAGCTGATGTGTTAGTGAAGAAGCCGAATGACGCCCGTACCTCCGGTCAGGCTGGTGCTGCCCATGGCCCACCTCCTCGGGGCACTCCTGTAACATGGGCTGGAGTTCTTCCTGCGGAGAGGGCGTGAGAGTGGCGGTGGACTGATGGCTGTAGGACACTGCAGCCGGAGATGAGGCGGCTCCCCGCACAGGGGGCGTGGGACCTCGCTCATCTTCCTCGTCTTCTAGTTCGCCTTGTTGCAGATACATCCGCGCTGGGGGCACGGGGCATGGCATTTCTTGGTCATAGCTAGAACAAATCATAAGGACACTTAGACTCACTTCAGGTTATTCCAATGAACTATCTGCAGAGGAGGCGGAGTATTAGTGTTGAATTGCTTTTGAAATCTGACTGTTCAGGCCACCTTAAGAAGGTATTATTGGGACTCCTCTGGCGGTGCAGTGGATAGGAAGTCACCTGCCAATGTAGGGCACAAGGGTTCAATCCCTGGTCTGGGAAGATCCCACAGGCTGCTGGGCAATTGAGCTCGTGTGCTACTACTGAGCCTGTGTAGCTGGAGCTACTGAGGCCCCGGCACCTAGAGTCCGTGCTCCTCAACAAGAGCAGTCACCGCAATGGGAAGCCCACGTACCACAGCTCCAGGGTAGAGCCTGCTCCCCGCAACTAGAGAAAGCCCGCGCACCGCAACAAAGACCCAGTGCAGCCATGAATAAATAAATAAATAAGAATTTCCAAAAAAAGAGGAGGTATTGTTTAAAAAAATAGCTCACTATCATAAAGATGTGTGCATTGCTATAGATAACAGGGTTTTCTCCTTGGGATTACAATTCAGTTGGCTCATTATAAGCTCTGAGAAGTCAGGCAATAAAGAAATCTAACAAAGTTTAATTTAGTAAACCCCAAATGTGTTTGATCTCTTCAATCCCTCCAACCCAACACGACCTCTAAAGGATGATTCAGGATGGTCTTGAAAATAAACCAAAGACAACATGCCAAACTCTGAGAAAAATTATTCTTGAAAATCCCTCTGGAGGGAGATGCATCGGCTTATTAGCCCAATCAACTTATTAGCCCAATACAATCCACTTTTCCTCTAAAATCATAATAGATCACCATTTCTTTGGTTGAGCACAAAATATAGTATAGTTGGCTTGCATTTGGGATGGTGAATGAAAGACACAATAAATAAAATAATCAATAAACTATAAAATGTCCCCTCTCTTCTATAGCTAGAGCTGTGTGGAAGCTCTAAATGAATCTGGTGAACATTTGTTCCTTTCTCTTTTACCTCAGGGTATACAATTATTAATTAGAATGGCAGTAACTTGATGCATTATATAAATCGTGTTCATGTTGCCCTTCTATCTTATTCATTCTCTACCACATACCTTGTTTACCAGAACTCAGGAAAGTTGATGCTCATATAACATGATTTCTTTGAATCTTTATATCTTCTTTTAATGAACAAATCCCACTATCTGTGACACTTCTTCCTGTGTTTCCTATGTCTCTTGTACTCATTTAGACATGCCCCTCTTCTACCTTAAACTGTTCCCCAGTTCATTTCTATTCTACTTCTAAAAATCTCTAGAATCTATTCCTTTTTCTCCATCCTCACATTGCTTTTTATTATAATGAGCACCACGCTCTGGTTATTCACCTGTTTTAAGGTAATAAGTGGCTCTTTAGTTGCCTATAGAATAAAATATGAGGACCTAAACAACACAGTCAAAGTATCTGTGTAATCTGGCAAGAATACTGGAATTGGTTGCCATTTTCTGCTCCAGGGGATTGTCCTGATCCAGGGATCAAATCCAGGTCTCCTGCACTAGTAGGCAGATTGTTTACTGCCTGAGCCACCACGGGAGCCCTTACAATGGTGAGTTCCCTGGTAAAAATGACTCCCAGGTGTATGTTAGGACTGTCTGGGGTTCCCAAGGCCAAGAAGGCTATAATGTGCCTCAGTGGAGAAAATTTGTGTATTTAGATAAGCTTTGCTGAGGAATGACTCACAGTGCTGTTGGCTGTAAATTCAATGTTAATGAATCAACAATATATATTAAATAAGGTGTCTTTAAACAAAAACACATATAAAAGAAGGTTATGTATGGATCTCCATTTCCAACTCCAGGGATCTTTCTTCCCCAGGGATTGAATCCCAGTCTCCCACACTGCAGGCAGATTCGTCACCATCTGAGCCACCAGGAAGCTCTATGTGTGGACAGACTGACAAAAATGTAACCAGAGCTTACAGGAACCTAACCTTGCATTTCTCCAAGGATCGATGGTTCAGTATTTGATAATTCAGTGCTTAGAAAATAAAAGTAAAGAGACTTTGTTTCCTGTCATAGTTGGAACTCTAAAACTGTTTTTTGTTTTGTTTTTGTGGAGAATAAAAGAACAATGTCTTCATCTCAATATCAGTCTTTAGAAAGACTATTTTCGGGCCGATCTTGCACTTCCTGTGTTAATTCTCTGTATCAAAGGAGTTCTCTTCCACTGATCACCCGAGTGAAGCTGCTGCTTTTGTTTTGCTGGGTGGTACCACATCTAGTTCTACACACCCTGAAGTGAGGAAGAAGCATGCTAACTCTCTAATTGCTCTCACGTGGGTTTTTTACACTCAGTAAATCCCTGTGAGAAACAATTCAGCAAAGTTTAAACTTCTACAGTTTTCAGCAGAATGTGATCCTATCTGAGAGCAAACAGTTTTCAGGATGCTGGAGCGGTGGTATGAATCCATACACTTAATTTATGAAAATTTAGAGATGTACAACAGAAGTTTTGATATTTGAAAAATACAACATCAAATATAGAGAGTGATATGTAAGTGACCTCATATATATTCATGACCATGTGTGCTAATTATATGTATATAAAGTAAAATACTTATAAATATGTAAACTGTGTGTGTGTGTATGTGAATGGGTGTGTGTGTGGGGGTGTGTGTATGTATTCATGACTCATGTTCTGAGTTCCAAAAGAAGCTTCCAAGATATGAATTCCTTTTGTTGTTGCAAAACTGAGGGGGGTTTCTAAGTTGTGCTGACCCATCAGTATCACTTTATTTAGAGACAAATGTCAATGGACCTTAAGAATCAGTCTCCCTGGATGATTGGTTTAGGGCATCCTACTGCTCCACTTACGTCTGTCCTGAAACCCCTCTTACCTTTCATCCACAGACATGCTATACTCTTCACTGTTGCTGGGAGGAGGAGGATGCGCTGGGGGCGGGGGCAGTAGGTCTGCCCAGCTCATGCCGCCTTGCTTTGGGACTTTGGGTGTCCGTGCCCCTTTCTTATGCCCTTGACTCCCTTGAAAAGAAATGAAAGCCAACTTTTATTTCTGAATTTTAAATCTTTTCTATGATCCACAGGTTAATAATCCACATATTATCAATGTTATTAATAATCCACACATTATGTTCTGTAAATATGATCTTGTACTTCATATACAGAGGGAGACACACTTTTCTTCTTCAATTTTAAACAGAACTTTGTACAAAAGAAAATGCAGAATACTGACAAGCTTAACTGCAAAATAAATAGTGAAAGAGCAATAAAACCATAAATGAATTTTTATAAGTCATATCATTAATAGTGATCTTCTTACAGCAATTAATTGCATTATGGATTATCATCTAAAACAAATGAGCTGTAGACATACTTTCTGAAGTGCCTTTCTATTATTTAATTGCTGGAACCTAAAATACAATATGATACAGATACGATCTATTACATTTCCACTGTTGCATTAAATTACCGAGTATATATAATTTGTAGTTGTCCACTGAAACGTTTTAGGCACAGTGAAGTTACTAGTTTTTGTCAGAAAGACAGGTGCAGATGAAAATAACTGCTGGAAGAACTAATATATCTAACAACAAAAGAAGCAGAAAAATGGTTTTTAAAAAGGAGCAGAAGTGTTTTTAGCCACTGTTTCTATAAAATTATGGCTTAGAGTGAAATAATGTTGCTTGAACATTCTTAGAAGTTTAAAATAGCTCAATTATTCAAGTTGCCCAACATTCTGGTATTAGATTTGGTATATTCTTTAAACATAGGTAGCTGCACATTTTGGTGTATTCATTTTAAAATAACATTAGGTCAAAAGATATTTGGAGATAAAATGGTTGTTCTCCTCCTCCTCCAATAGTATATATTCTACATTCTTGAGTAAATTACAGACAATGAGTCTGTAATTATTTTTCTCATATGATCCCTTAAATTCAGTGAATTGTTTTGTTTTTTTTTTAAACCTTTCTGAAACAGCTCCAACTCACATGGTACATGAAACAGGTCTGAATATATTCAATGAGACTTATTTTTCAAGTCACTTGGGACTTTTCAAATGACAGTGTTTGTGAAGCCAGATGTTCTTGCACTGGCCTGTTACTACACCAAGTGTGGGCTGCGGGACAGGCTGTTATTTACAAATTATGATGGTCAGGCTTCTGCCTGTTTGTTCTCTCCTCCTCCACTCAGCGGTCCTGTCTTAGAATGGCTACGCATGTTCTGAGGAGCTGACTGTACCCACAGGCTTTGTCTTGATTTCCTGGCACTCATCTACTGTAACAACTCCACCTGTCCTGAAAGGCCTTACATCACAAATCTCTCCTATACTTCATTTAATTGCCTCATTCTCTCCCCTAAGTATTTACCACCAGATTTCACATCATGTTACCTTTTTACCACATATTCACGGAATACTAAATACCAAATAGCTGCAGAACATCAGGATCTATGTATCTAAACTGAGGGATGGAGAAAGGCAATTGAATAACAACCCAGAATCTTTTTTTTTCTTTTTCCATTAAGACATTTTTCTCTTTAAGTGGCTAAGAATTCAAAGAAGAAATGGCATGGGATAGCAAATATAAAAATACTTTATATAGCTGTCCCAAGAGTACATCTTTGAAATTTGTCTCTTAATTTAGAAATGCTTAATGCTTCTGCCTACTTAGGCAGAGGTGAGAATCCAAACAGCAAACTCACCACTGGAAGGTATTGAGTAATAATCTGTCAGTCTAGCTCTTTCCCAGTGTCTTTATTATAGTTTAGAGTTTACTTACTTTAAAAAATATAAAAAGTCATTTGGTAAGATTTGTTAAAAACAATCAAACAGTACATAGTAAAACAAGAGTAGATCTAAAAAGGCATAGAGCTATTCCTAAACTCCTTAATTAAACTAGAAACAATTTCAATCAGTGACAAAACACAGGCTAGAAAAGGCCAAATCAGCATGCCTTCATCAAGGCAAGATGGCAAAATGCAAATACCATATTCATTACAGGAGAGGGGTAGAGACATTTGGCTAAAAGCACCTACTAGCAACTTTAATCCAGTTGCTAGGAGGTAATATATCTACCCTCTCCTGGAGAAGCAAACCAGAGTCAAGATCAATTGGTTTTGTCCTCATTGTGGTGTGACTTGCCACATGTTCGTTCTAATAATGAACCGCCTTTAATTAGAAAAACAGGGCTTAAGTACCAGCAAGCTCCCATCTGCAGCCGCTATCAGGAAAACAGCTGGCAAACAGCTGCACCAGCATGAAAACCACAGGGAAGAGGCCTCGGCGTGGCTTCTGAGGCTGGAACACTGACGTTGGGAGGCTGCTTTACGAGATTTTAGAGCAGGAACTAAGTAAGGGATAGAGAGATTATTAACTGAGGCAGGTTCCAATTGTACCTAAATCTCATGATACCATCTCTTGGGCTTTTGATCCTACTCAAGTGTACTGAAGTTTCATATGCTTTAATAGACTACCTTCAAATGGTAACATAGTTAGCAGATTAACTGTATGTGCAATATTTTTAGTTATATTTTTGCTGAGATGGAAAAAGTGTTTCAACTGCCTTTAAAGATTCAGTCATGCTTCTGGCTTTAATAGAGCTCCTTATAAAGGAAGAAAATAGGAGCCTCAACCTTCATTACTAAATAGAACATAAAATGGTTCAGTGAGTGGACAGTAGTTCACATTGCAGACAAGACCCATGCCTGGAAGATTCAAATCATATAAACTGATTAGACTTGTCATATTTCAGATCATTAGCATTCAAGCTAAAGAAACGCACCATTTCTTTAAAGGAGAGATTGGCCTTCTCCTTGGTTTCTCTTACTTACCTGATGTACTACTTCCCCGGTCTGAACTGTTGTAGGATCCTCCAGTATTCTGGTCATACGACTGGTTGTACGGGATAGTTGGAGCAATTGTGTCATTTGCGCGATAATCTGGACATTTCAGATGGAAAAAAAGTTATACATTTATTTTGGTGCCTCAATCATTTACCAAGGATTAAGCTTTTAAATTATCATACTGATCACTTGCTAAGATGGACATGTGTTTAGGATGAAAAGGTCAAGAAAAAACAAAGATCTTTAAACATGTCTACTTTAAGATATGTAAAATACTAACTCTTTGTGTCTTCTTTACATGAATCAGACTAAACGTAAGTGTGAATGAATCCTACCAGGGACTATTTCTTCTCTTTAAAACAGTTATAAATCAGCTAAGGCATAAGTCAGCTTTGCTTGACTTCTTATCTTTAAAAATATGGTAACAAAATAATTTTAATAATAAGAAATTGTAAAATGTCATGTCTGTGAATCATTAAAAAATAATAAAACATAAAACTGCAACTTGTCAGAAAGATGATGTCTAATTAAAAATACAGATAAGAAGACGAAGTATCTCAGTCTTCCACAAATACTTCTGCTTGCTTAGGGAGAGGTGAAAATCTGAGTGAAAAACTCACCCCAGGAATGTACTGAGTAATAATCTATCAGTCTAGCTGCATTCCAGTGTCTTTATTATAGTTTGACATACCAAGTCTGTTTATAAGCAGTATAAACAATATATCACAACTCTAAAATATTTGTACAGAGGGCTGTCAAACCTTTCCAAAGTCCACAATAAAGTCGTATACTCTGCAGGAATATTATGAAAAACCTGTTTGAATCCCCACTGTAAACTCCATGATTATAGAAACTCTCCTATTCATCTTTGTCATCAACTCATGTATTATGCTAAGTGAAATAAGTCACACGGAGAAAGGCAAATATTGCATGATATCACTTATAGTTGGAATCTAAAAAATTCAACAAGCTAGTGAATATAACAAAAAGAAGGAGATTCACAGGTACAGAGAACAAACTAGTGGTTATCAGCAGGGAGAGGAAACGGGGAGGGGCATACAGGTAAGGGACTAATAGATTTATTATATATAAAATAAGCTACAAGGCTATACTGTTCAACACAAGGAATGTAGCCAGTATTTTATAACTATAAATGGAGTATAACCTTTAAAAATTGTGAATGACTACCTTGTACACCTGTAACTTCTGCAACAGTGTATATCAACTATACTTCAAGAAAAAAATGGTTAGAAAATATCTATTGAATTGGGCTATTATACCAACCAAATGTTTTCTTAAACTGGGAATAAAGCAAGATGACTGACTTATTAAAGTAAAATATATAACACTATCTCTTGGTAATTTCCAACTGTAACACATTTAGCTTTGAAGAAAACATTGCCAAGTCAAGCCTCAAAAAAAAGAAATCTGTGTTTCTAATTATCTGCAATTAAATATATCCTTTACCTGGACACTCATACAAAACTGTCCTGACTTATTCAAATTAGAGCATTCCCTTTATTTCTAGAGGTTTAATTTTGTAAATCATGTTATTAAAGCAGTAACCTAAAGGAACTACAAAGAAATCAAATACCTAGCCCTTCCAACTCACCCATTTTACAATAGAGAAACATTCCCCTCAGGCCATAAAATACTATTCTGCAGTTATAAGTTACAATGAACTCAATTTACTTTAGGTTCTATCCTGACAGACTTCAATCAGGTCAAAGAAATTTAGGGTCTAAAATCATACACTGCAGCAGTCTTAGTAGCCACAAGAGGTAGGAGAAATATAAAAAATTGAACCACTTCTCCAGTTCAAGCTTATTTTTTTTCAGTTTGATATAAAAATGCCATTCATTTATGTGACCATGTAGAAGCAATTATCTTCCATTCTCGAGTGGAAAGAATGGGAGAGTCTATTTATTTAAAAGGTGAGGTATTGTGACGGCTGTGCATCTGCCTTATGAATAAAAGATTCTGTCCGGAGCAATCCCTCACCTACGATTAAATTTAAATTAATCTCGAAACCATTTGGAAATACTTATATATTATTATAAAATCAATTTTCCAAGGTTATTCTTGGGCTAATTAACTTTTCGACACTGGAAATTTTGAAACCAAAGAAATCAGAAAACCTTAGTGACAAAAGACAGATGTCACTGGCGAGTTCCAAACAAGCTTTGGCATGTAGTGCTGAAGGGTTAAGGCAGCCAATGCAGAAAACGGGGGGAATAAAGGCAGGCCTCCTCACCTTTGTTCAGTTTGTTTTGCTCCATGATGTTATACTGAATTGACGCCACTTCCTGTTTCTGCTGGCCGGGTGGCTTCCAGTGCTTCTCACCAGATTCCCCACTGCCATTGTTCATGTTGTTGCTGAGGTTTGACTGGATGAGCTGGGTGGTGGCATAAGGGGTGGGCTGCCCTGATGGATTGACAAAACGCCCATCCTTCAGATTTGGGCTATTGAAGGTTTTCATCTCATTGATTTTGTTACTAAGGTCCACATCACCATAAACAGTTGACTCAGGGAGCATCAGATTTGTTTGTTTGTTATCCAGTTGGTTGTTATAATTTGCTATACAATCAGCTATGTGCAATGGAGAGGAAAAGGAAAAAGTCATTCTGCATGGTTATTCGTTTTAAATTTCCTTGTAAGAAGCTTTGTGAGTCACAGTAAAATTGTTATATAAAGTATAAATGGGCTTAAATACGATGAATAAAAAGGACCAAGTATTCTTATGTCCTTTCTAAAGAACAGAATCAAATGTTCTTTCAAAAAAAAAAAAAATTGAGGGAGTAAGAAGAGGACATATAATTTATATGGAGACTAAATAATTCTGAACTTCAGTTAGTGTTATGTAGTTTATAAATAATGAACTCAATTTAAGTAATTTTCCTTTAACAGTCACATTAATGGGAAATGCACTAAGAGAATATATACATGAGTATCTTTATGTGCCAAGTTTAAATTTTCTAATCTGGAGTTACTGAACTATTTGAAGTTACTAGCTAGCTGTTGAAGCAACAGAACAAGGCTAATAGGTTAAGAGTCCAGACCATCTTCCTCCCCGCAAAAACCTCTGCCCTCAGATCAAATAACTTGAGATTTCAATATTGTATAAAATACCTCTATTCAAAAAAATGAGGAACAGAGGTAAAGTGATGGTAAACAATACTCAGGAGAGTTTTATTAGTTTCTTCCCTTGGTCACACAAGATAATCATTATCAAGAAAAGCTATTATATAATCATTTTGCATGGTTTCATAATGATACCTCAAGATATATAAAATGACAATAATGATGGTCAAATGAATCATAGTAGCCATGGCAATTTAATCAAATAACACCTGCAATAATCTGTCTAATATTTCAACTTCACTCTAATTTTTCCTTCATTTAAACATTTAAGAGTGAAATAAGTAATATATACATAGAAATACTTAAGGTTTGCATTTGAAAATATTAAAATAGCAGAAAGAACTAAAATCATCATATGAAACTAAAATATTATTTAAATAAAAATTTAGTTAAGTTATAATAGTAAAAATACCACTATTTTATTCATAGTGGCTGCAACATTAACAAGCTCACCTTGAGGATGAGTTTTCAACTAAACAGCGTAATGATGAATTAACATGGCTACTACTAAAGATGTAAAAATGAATATAGTTTTAAGAAAAAATCGCAACTTCTCGACCCTACTGAATTCAAATACCTTGTATTTTAACAACAAATGATCAGGGATCAGAGGTATTTGATTAATCTTCCATTAGTAATTTCATTTCTAATGTCTAGGTATTAAGCTTCATGTAAGAGTTGTTAAAATATTTTTAATGGCAATATGGTTTTGGCAATCTCATTTTTCTTTGCAAATATTTCCATATGACTGCTATCCAACAGAACTTTCTGAGATGAACATGTTCTATTTTGCACTGTCTAATACAATAGCCACATGTGAGCACTCAAAATGTGGCTAGTGCAAATGAGGAACTGGATTTTAAATGGTATTTTATTTAATTTAAATAGCCACCTGAAGCCAGAGGCAATCATGTTGGATAACTCAGCTCTCCATATTAATTTACAAAAATGTTGTCACTTTCTTCTCTTATTGGCCTCAGCATAATCTTTCTTTTACTTATAATTATGTGAGCACTTCTCTGCCTAGATAACTAGAATACCAACCTCTGAAGAACAGGGACTTGGTCATATGGTTGCATCATTTTCATATACAAATTCAATGGAGACTATGATTTGTTCTTTATGGTACATCATATTTTTTACTTAAATGCAATATTTTATTTTCCTTTTCCTTAATTCCATGGGTTATTTCTATAGTCATATGTTTTGATTCTTCATGACTCTTCCAATATTTCCTATATTGTGACTGCATGCTGAAAGGTTTCTTTTTTAAGAATTATTTATAATTTTGTTTATTCTTTTAAATATTGCATACTCTACATCCAAAGTTTACTGTCATGTTTTAGCATGAAATTTTAGCAAGTAATTCACCACACATATTTCTGAACCCCAAAGACACAATTAGCATTAACACAGACATCTACAAAAGATATATATTTCTTGTATCCTATAAAAATTTACTGTTATACAATAAAATTTTTGAATTTCAGTTAGCTTTCATTTAAAATTATTTTTGCCACCATGTAATTATTCTTATTGTTGTTGTTACTGCCATTAAAAACTGGAATCCCTCAGACTATATATTTATTGGTCTTTTGATTTGCTTTGCCCTGAGAATCTTTAAAATAAATACTATAAATAACTACAATCTACTAAAATTATAATTACACGCATTCTTATGAGGACAACTACTTCTCCATAATTTCCTTTTTCCTTATTTGCTATTTATTCTAGGATTTATATCCTCCATTCTCCCTTCACATACTGGGAAACATTTTTGGGTGCAGGGTGAGATGTGGAGATATAAGGATGGAGAACATAACTTGAATCAGGCTAATTTGCTAAACAGTGGTTCATATTTCATGAACACATTGATTAAAATTTCCTTTCCAATGTAGGGAGAAAGGGAAGTTATCTCCTCATGGCCGGTTGCTAACAATGCCGAGCCTGTGTATCAAGCTATCTCTGTGCCTCTAACCTGGGCGACTATACGTGGTCAGGTTGCCATCACTGTTCCCATTGCCTGCCGTGCAGCAATTGATGGAGCAGTCATTGTGGTTATTCCCAGTGTTGGGCCATGTGTCTGCCAGCCACGGCTGCGTGGCAGGTTCACTGATGTTGAGAAGTCCTGGCCTAAAGAAAAAAAAAACATGTGTAAAAGTAAGTGTTATATAAGTAGCAAGTAACATTGCCTATTCAGAATTCCAACCCATTCTCCATCTTATTATCCTCACAAATAACTTGGTCAATTATGCTGAAAGATATTCTTTTTATTTTATTTTATAGACAAGGCAACAATATAATGTTCTGAGACACACCTCAGTTTATATAGCCATTACACTGTAAACAGGCAGAGACTTAAAATACTGTAGTTTCTGATGTTTTACTCCTTCTTCAGTCAGAGTGACTAAAAACCAAACACGGAATCTAAAAAGGTGGATGCTTGTATTTTTCAGTGTTTTAAAAGCTTACAGAATACTCGAGTTAAGACAGTTTGCATTTCTTTTTTGACCCATTAAAAAACATGATTCTTCTCACCACTTCATTAAAAAATGGAACAAGCTGTTTACTTAGATAAAGGAGCCTTCACAGTAAGCACATTTGCATACTTTTCTCCAAAACCATGTCTCAGAGAGAGTGCATCTTGGGCTCTGTGGCATTTTGTGGAGAGCCTCATCAGTGTTTCAGTCCACAGTTCTGTAAGCTTGTCAACAATTTCTGATGGTAACAATGTAAAATGCCATAAATCCCTATATAAACAAAAGAAAGCTACTGAATTAAATCTGGTAAAACAGTGATGTCCACTGTAAGATATGTGAGTGTTAATGGTTTTTTTGGGGGGGGTGGGAAACAGATGTTAATCCTCTTTCACTGTACACTGGGAATGCAAAGTACATGAGCGGTTACTAATGGGAACCCTGGACCACCAGTGGCAGAAACACAGACATTAAGTTCAGCAAGGGCAGTCCTGAGGTCCTTTTCCAACCCTGACTCTGATCAGCAATTTAGCAAAAGAGGTGATGATGCAGGATATACTGTCAGATCCACAATCAACAGACCGGCACTGCAGATTCGGAAAAGATTTCCTTCATGGTTTCATTTTCTTTGTTAAAATGTAAAAACCATGCTTCTCATTTAGCTGGGAAGTAAGAACCTGACATTTAACTTGTGTGTGTGTGGAGTATGTGTGTGTGTGTGCGTGCACACTCAGTCGAGTCTGACTCTTTGAAACCCCGTGTAGTGTAGCCCAGGTTCTTCTGTCCATGGGATTCTCCAGGCAAGAATACTGGAGTGGGTTGCCATGGCCTACTTCAGGGGATCTTCCCGACCGAGGGATGGAACCCTCATCTCTTACATCTTCTGCACAGGCAAGCAGATTCTTTACCACTAGAGCTACTTGGGAAGCCCATCAGTCATTGTCGTGGTTTCTATTCTGACATAGAGTCAGCCAAGGAAACTTATTATGCAAACGATGGTTATTTAAGGAATAATTCACTTCAAATGAAAGTATGGATTTATAATTTGTATATCTGTATACATATATATGTATTCATGTGTATACACGTATCTGTAATAAAAATGAATACTTACCTTTTGTTTATAATGTATGAGGCACTGTTCTGACTTTTTTATATATATTATTAACTCCTTCTAATAATCTACAGAGTAGTTACTACTATTACCCAGATTTTACAGATTAGGAAATGGAATTGCCTGAGAGAGGTTAAGAAATGTGTTCATGGGTATAGAAAGTGAGTGAGTGGCAGAACTGGGATTCAAATACTAGTAGGTTGTCTGTACAATCCACACTGTAAACCAGGAAGCTATAAACACATATACTGAAGAGTGATTAAATTTCTAAAAACCCTCAAACATTCCTAATAAAAGGAAGAGTGGGGAAATGTCTGAAGTCTTCAGAATATTGTTGTAAAAACTGGATAAATTCACTGTTAAAACTGTTGATAAAAACATGCTTTGAAGAGCAATGTGGCTGACCTGTTAAAATTTAAAACATTTAAATGCAAGCTGTATCACAGATATCTGGAGCCTTTGAGATTGATGTTGGTTACACAAAGTCTGCATCTAGCTGTCTTTAGCTTTTCTTGTTTTCTCTTAAACCTAAATCAACTGTGTTATCGCTTTTGAAGTTATTAAAAATAAATCTCCATATCCAACACTGTAGAAATATTAGAGTATGTTTGAAGTACGGGTCAAGTGGAAATTTTCCACAGCCTGACTTACATGGTTCAAAAGGAATAGACGGTATTTTTATGCTACTATGATTCCCTCAGAAAAGCACTTTTAAAAGTAAACGTTTTGATATCATCAGAGGCTGAAAGAACTTTTCATATGTATGGGAGCTTTCCGACAGGAAGTGGGATTAACAATTCACGTCCTGGCATTTGGTTCAGACTTGTGCTTGGTGAAGAAGGCTGAGTCATGATTACTGGCCCATAATGAGTCTTAAAATGACATATGTATATTTCAGAGACCTCTAAGGAAGTCAAAGTCATATGTAGTTATTTTTATAATGGTGTTAGGGTCCTTAAAAACGAAAAATCTCCTAAGATATCTTTATGCATTTAAGATGATCTAATGTGTATGGGACAGATTTAGCTGTCCTACAATAAGAAATGAAGCAGAAGCAAAACACAGTGCTGGTTACAGCGATTAGTAAGTGTTGAACATATTATATAATTTAATGTTACCATATTACATATATAAATGCAATCATATTATACACATATATTCATATAATGTTAGTTATATTTCCAGGCTAATGCATCTGAACTTTGCCTATTTCTTTCTTGTCTTCAAAGAGGTATTATTAAAGAAAGGAAGATACTAGGGCTTGCAAAAACCATATTTAACTTCCATTTTATATTAAGGGGACAGTTTTGTGGCATAAGGGAAAAGAGGACAAATGAACTTAAATAATTTGTGGCAATTACTTTCAATTCCTCTGCTCCTCTTACTCCAGATATTCTACTCACTCACTCCAAACATACCACACACACACACACACACACACACGCACGCACGCGCACACACACACAAACCTATTTGAACTCCTAAAACCACAAAATAAAATACTAGAGGGTCCTGGAGCCGAGGAAAATAGTGAAGGGGCCTAGCAACAAGGGCTGCCTACAGGCTGTCTCCTCTTTTTTTTGACATGCTGAAGTGCTTTGAAGCCCAGTAGGAAGCAAGGGATAGATCTGAAAGTGGTCAGTCCTTTAGAGAGAAGCAAGGTCTGAGTTCTGTTTCTTTCTCACCTTCTGTGGCCAGGAAATGTGCTATTGGCATTCTTGATCTGGTTAGCCTGACTTTCCTACTCTCTTCTTCAGGCTTTCTCTGCTTTTTCCTGGTTTGTGCTGTGATTTGGATTTTAACTATCTTTGCCACCACCACCCCCCTCCCCATGACCCCAGAATTGGAGATTGGGATATTTGAAATAAGGAAAACAAATGAAAAAAACAGTCACTTAATATTTACATGATTCTCACTGGACTAGATTGCAAGTCCTTCGTCCTTTTCAAGTTGAGAAGACGTTTCTTTGCTTAACTGTAATCCTCATTTTCACTTTTCCGTGAACAGCTAAATTCACACTTTTGAGAAACAAGAGAGTTCTCCGGTTCTCCTTCTCTCTCAATCTTCTCCTTTATCAGAGGAAAATGTCCAGGGCCCAGAATTTTTTCTCAAGTCAACAAGGACTGAGCTGAAATCTTCTGACATTTATTTATTTAGTAAGCCATCCCTCTCTTCTTTAAGATAATTTTTGGTAATATTTTTCAAAGATCAATAACTCATATACTGAATTTATGGATCTAATCTAATGAATTACATTTATTGCGCTACAAAAATTCATGTATTCAATTATTAATTCATAAATCACATAACCCTAGGATCTCCCATTCTATTGTGGGAAACAATCATTAAAGCCAGGAGTTAGTAAACTATTTCTATAAAGGCTCAGAGGGTAAACATTTAGGCTTTTTGAGACATATACTTTTTGTTTCAACTATTCAGCTCTGTTATTGTAGTGGGGGAAAGCAGTCTTGGGCAATATGTCAACGAGTGAGTCTGGCTGTATTTTAATAAATCTTTACTTACAATTACAGGTGGTACACCAAATTCAGACCCAGAGCTGTAATTTGCTGACCCCTGATATAAGCAAAAGGTAGTTGTATTACCTCATATGAGGTACTTGGAGAAGGGAATGACAACTCACTCCAGTATTCTTGCCTGGAAAAATCCATGGACAGAGAAAGCCTGGTGGGACACAGCCCATGGGGTTGCAAAGAGTTGGACACGACTTAGCGACTAACATACACACACACACACACACATTAGGTGCTTCACTGTGGTATTTATATAGAACTAAGAGTTCCTGGAGGACACAGCAGGCGAACCTCAGCAAGCTGACAAGGGGAGGAGGGACGTCCTCCAGGCCAATGTCATAAGGACATAAACAGAATGCAGTATTCGTGACTGTTAGGTGAGCTGACAGAGTGACTCACAGCACGTGGCACAGAGAAGTATGAAGCGGTGCAAGTCCCTGGAGGTTGTGGGTTTCATGTACATTGCCCAGTTTGGACTTGCTATTTTAAATATGGTGTGTTCTATTGAAAAATGGGATCTTCAGAGGCTCAGAGCCATGATCAGTATGTATTTCAAAATTGCATTCCGGCTCCAATGGGCAAAGAGAATTAACACGGAACAGAGCTAATGAAGGCAGAGGAAGGTAAGATTGCTGGGAGTGTTTGTAATAGATCAGGTTCAGAAGACTGAAAAGGAAAACAATACAGTGATAGTGAAAGGAGAAAAAGGTAGGATTTAGGAAACACAGTAACAGAGGCAGGAGTGAGGATGATGACACTGTGACTTAGGTGTCATAAACCAGATGTGGTGGGAGGTCCACAGAGCGCTCACAGGACCTGAGAGGCCTGAGGGAATTCAGTGTTTAGGTATCCCTAAACATCAGAGAAGTGAGTACAGCGGTCCAACTCACTGTTCATTCTCTTACTAAACTGGATCATAGAACACACATACAACACACACATGCTCACAAATACTTACTAAACTGAATCATGGAACACACATACAACACACACACACATTCACAAATAGCTAGTGAGACCTCTTCCTCATGGCATTGCTGATCCTCTAAACCCTGTTCTATTTTTCCAAAGCACTCAGCAACTGCTTCTACTATAGAGCTGACTTAAAAAAAATAAAGTTTATTATTAATCTTCTATCTCCCCCACTAAATGTAAGGTTCAGAAGGACAGGAACTTGTATTGACTTTGCTCACTGGATCTGCGTAGGCAGCTAGAACAGTGCCTGTCACATTGTAGGTATTCAATAAATAGTGTTGATGAATAAATAAATTTAAAACTGTGTATTTAACTGCCATTTTGAGTCCTGACCCTAGTATCTTTATTCAACTGTTGCCTCTATAACATTCTAGCATCATTTGTCATTTGGTAAAAAGATCATTTCTATTTGGTGTTTAAAATAAATCCATTTCCCTGCTATACTATTTTTACATTCAAACGGTTAATTGTGTAGGATGATATAGGGAGCTTTCCAAATGGAACTTTGTAATTTTTCAGTCCTGCTGAAGAAACTATCATTTGGTACTGAGGATCCCTGGCCATCATGTCCTTCTTGATAATTTGGTCTACCTAGGTTGTAAATTCCTTTAGAGCAGGAACCATACCTATATTTTATACGTGTGTGTGTGTGTGTGTGTGTGTATGTGTGTGTGAGATACAACACATCTGTGCGCATGACCATGCACAGAGGCTGGTGCAGAACACACAGAAGATGCTCAATAAGCATTTTCTGATGCTCTGATTAACGAGAAAGCTGATGTCTATAGCCGTGAATATACACATGCAGAGAGATGGTGGTACCATCAGGCATTCCAGATTTATCCATGAGAGAATGTTCTTATGCCAAAGGCTGTTTCATGAATGTCTGGGCTATGATTTAGATAGGATTTCCCAGGTTGCAAAAACATGCCCTGGTTTAATTCCTGAATCAAGTGGATTTATTCCTTTTGAAGACCTCCCTTGCTGTGGGTTCTTTCCATGGCTGGCTTTGTTTCACAGGTATGAAAACAGGAAGCCAGCAGCAGTACCCAGAAAATAGAAGATTAGTGCTTACTGTCAGCATTTTACTAAAGATGGCTAAGTTTTGTTTTTGTTTCTTTTACCACATTTTGTCATACACTACATTCAGTGATTTTATCATCAGATGGTATGTTTCTCAGATTCAGGAATAATGTTTTATTTTTATCTTTCCCAGGAGCAACTATACTAACTAACAGTACAAAGCAGGGCACTCAATAAGTTAACTGAATTTGAATTATAAAATGGCTTTGGTTGAAAAAAATTTTTTTCTTACATCCTAAGCTAGAAGTTGCTATTTTTGAAAAGAAAGAATTATCTTAGAAAACTCTGATGTTTGGCTCATGTAACTTAAATCTTCTTTCAGCCCCTTTCAGGCGACTGTCACATCAATTTGTGATTTCTCTGTGAATATATTCAAGTTCACTGAATAATAATTACCAAAAAATCATAGATGTAGGATTGAGGTTCATTTTAATTAGAGGGGAAAAAAAATCTCCGTGTTAACAAGCTACCTAGATTCGCCTTTTATTTCAACATATTTCCCCGTGAATGGAGATTGAACTATGTTGAATTTATAACAAGAGCAAACAAACAGATGTAACCTACAACTTATGAGCTAGTGCTGTGTTCAGCAGGTTTCCAAATGAACACTTTTTCTTTGATAGTATCTGTTAACTAGCTATATTTCTTAATCTTCATAAATGCCATCATTTAATTACTTTAACTCCTTTTAATGATTTGCTAAATCAGCAAGTCTGTCTTTCCTGGTTAAAGTGCTCCCTCTGGTGTTCACTGCTCAAGATGCACCAGCTCCAATCTAAGGCATTTGTGTGTTAACACGCTTGGTTCTAAAGCAGAGCAGAATGGAGTAGTTCTCGGAGTGGTTCTAAAAGATTTAAACACATTTCACCTTTAAGTTAAACCTTTTAAGCAGAGAAAGTGATGTCATCGAGGAAGACAGGAAGAAATATCTGGAAGGTCCCTTAGAATCTAAAAACCAGCAAGATAATTACCTCCCTCCACTGCTCACAGCTTCGCCTCCTCTCTGATAAGTTACTGGAATGTTACAAAAAAAAAAGGAACAATTAATAGACATGTTTGCATTTATACATCAAAAGCTATGACATTCAAGAGCATCTTTCTAGAATGGAATGTTTTCTCCCTTTCTACTTAGAAGCATTGCAAAAACTCATCACAGGAAATAGATTTCTGATTCAACTAAGTATTTTTTTAAAGATGGTATAGAATTAAATATGTTATTCTTATTTTCTTAGTGTGTTAACAAGTTTGAAAACTAAGGAGAAGCAAACTTCAGTATATTCTTATTAAATACAATAACTATTACACATTGTACATTTACATTCTCAGATTTCTATCTTGAATTTATTATCAGATCATGTAATTTCATGATTTTATAGAAGTGGAATATTAAATTTTGGAAAATAAAATCCTACCAGACCATTTCCCCAGAAATATGAATGAGTACCAGTAAGATGGATATAAACGTGAAAATAAACCTTTCTTTCCACACACAAAGATGTATGCCAAGTTGTGACTGTTAATTAATGTGACCTATTTTTTATTGTGGTTTGAGAAAATACTTCTCATATTTTCATCAAACATGTATACATCGTGAAAATGTATTTTAATGCCCGTGAAAGCATTCTCAGCTTAATAAGTTATGGGTATAAAATTTAGCCATAACAAAAAAAGATTTGCACATAGTTAGTCAAGGGGTTAAGAATATTAGCTCTTCTGTAAATACAGACACATTTTTCTAAGAACAAATATGTTTCTAAAAGATGCCAGATTCTGCTACTTAGAAGAACTCCAAACTGGGAGTCTGTTAAGGAGAGATAACTGCATCCAGTGATTATAATAACTGGATTAAAACCAAGAAGGCAGGACCACAGGTACATTTTTACTAAAGGTGATGCGAAAGAAGAGGACCCTCTTTGAAAGAAACTGAATAGAACAGAATATTAGGACTTGGACTCAGGGAAAATGAAAAGTTTTATCTTTCAAATGTGCTGTATATTTTGGTTACCTTTAAGAATGCTGATTCTATGGATAGAGAATTGCTTGGGAGAGAAAATTTTGTTGGAAATCCAGAAAGCTTAAGTTAAGGGGGAAAAAAATAGACTGCCAAGCCTAAAATAATCCATTGATCATTAGCATGTTAAATCATGCTGAGGGTAGAAACAGTGTGCCTATCTAATGAGATACATGCAAACAAGGCTCAGATGCACTGTGGAATCATGAATAAACAACTGCATTGAAGGGATGACAAGCAACACCAACCATTTCTACTTCAAGTGCATGCCTGGCATGAGTAAATGAAGTACTGTTTCCATTGTAAGTCCTTTCCCCCCAGCTTACTGCAGAAAATGAAATAAAAACAGCAACACAATAGTACAACAGATGCCGAACTAACAAAGGAAAGGAGGAGGGTAAGCGCAAATATATACCTGTTGGTGTGAAGGTAAAAGACGGGACTGAAAAATCAAAACAAAATATAAACCAGTTATTAAGCTGAAGAGAGAAAGGGAACATATCACATTAGTATAAATCAAGCAGACAGCTGAACATAAAACAAATGTAAATAACTAAGCCAGTAGTTCTGACACTCTTGATATGTGAATAAAACCAAATCTGAGGGTAAAAAAGAAGCTTGTCTCTGCAGGTACCATTTCGAAGCGTCTGACATTCTAGGACGGGGCGGTGGGGGGGGGAGGGGAGGACTGTGCTGGGTTAGCCTGTGGATGACCCCTGCTTTTAGTAATAGAGACTTAGTTCATGGCTTTAGTACCGACAGGAATCCTCTACTATTAATCATTTCCAAACAGTGGATAATGGGTTCTTAAACAAGTATTATCAGGGTCTTGCCTACCCTTATCTAGAAATCTGAAAGTAAATGCTTATTAAAGTGGACTAACTAATATAATAGGTGCACTTGAGCATCCATCACCTGGAGAGAGACAGTGATACAGACAGGGGGAAGGAGAGAGCAAATGATATAAAGACAGAAAGAAAGGCAGAAAGAAGACCAAAAGAAGAAGAAAGGAAAAATGCCGAAAGAAAAGGAGGGAGGGGAGAAGGGAGGGAAGAAGATAGATAGAAAGGAAGAAAGAAAAGGGAAGGAAGAAAGAAAGCAAGCGAAGAAAGAACTGCAACAAAGAAAACCATCAAACTGAACTGTTTCGCTGGCAAGAAATGCCTGATGCCTTAGCATAGAGTGTATTGCTACATTTCTAGCATCATAGAAATTGGTGAATAGACAGAATACATAGGGGGTTTTAACTTTAATTCTGCTATTATAGTTTATACCTAGAAGCTTCCTAGAAGTAGGCTGAGCATTTTAAAAAAATAGCACACCAAAAGCTAAACAATAGAACAATAATGCTCTGAAAATCTTCCCTCTTTGCAGTCATAAATCTAGATTAAATCAATAATGCCTGAAATTGAACTGCAGACCTCAAAAGTGGCATCCTTGCCTCCCCCACTTGTCCTATCTTCTCCCATTCCTGGCTGTTGGATAACACCAGAGTTATTTCCATGACATTTCACAGAGGGAGGAGGCTGACTTTTTTTCCCCCAAGCTCTTCACATTAATTTAAAGTAAACACTGCCCTGGTAAAGAAAGCAAGAGAATCTACATTACTCTTTGAAGACTAAAATTTGCTTTTAAGAAATCCTTAATACACACAAACCAGAATACTGATTACTTATCATGGGTCAAAAAGCTGCCAAAAATGTATTTTCCACTTCATATTTGAACGTCTACAAGAAATTTACTTTAGGATTAGAGCACTGGGGTTGCAGACTTGAATGCCATAGCATCTTTTACAACTGTCACTTCTTACCAAACCATTTTATCTCTAAGCATACTAGGAAGAAAAAAAAAAAAAACAAAATCCTCAATGCTGGGGATCCAGTTTATATACTGTCTTCTTCCGCTGCATAGCAGTCTCTGTCTTAAGAATTCTATTGTGCTGTCTTTCAGTCAGGTCTTTTTAGAGAGTCAGTGTAATTTAGCTGCAATCAAAAATTCAGAGCAATAGTAACTCGTCCTCATAAAAAATATAAAAGACATACATTTGAAAGTAAAGGTACTCAAGCAAGAATGGAGTGCCTGAACATTAATTTGCAATCACAAGGACACAGGGGGAAAATGAAAGGTCTTTGTCAGTACTCCTAGCCAACTGCTAACCTCAGTTTAAGGAATGGAAGAAGACATGAAAAGAGGTCCATCTAAATGAGATTTTTACAGCTGGCTCAACAAAGGACAACTTAATTCTCAAAGCTTCCAGTAATAAACCATTTCATCTAGTGATGCTGGTATACTATGTGGACAAAGGGAACAAGCAGAGGAAATACCTACAGATAAATGTAGGGGGAGATTATGTTAAAAATGCTCGCTATTACCCAAAGTCATACTCTGGCCTGATGTTTCATAGGGCAGTAGGTTCTTTCACACTGATTTCTTTTAAATATTTCACTTCCTTTTTTCTTAGGATGACCAGCATTGTTTCGGGCACAGTCAATTTAAGATTTCAGAATTCACTTTTTTAAAATTGCACAGAACCAGAAATATGAAAAAGTGCCAAAAAGGCAAGGTGAGGAAAGCAGAATCAAATGCTCACCAATTACATTTGTGATTATGTTCTATGATTTCTGCTTAACACAAGATAGTTAAAAGGACAATATTAGTGTAATAGTTTTTGCAGAAAGGGCACATAGGCATTTCCCAGCATGCTTGAAGTGCATTAGTAAGGGAAAAGGAACATTTCAGAAGGGAAGAAGGTTTCATGTCACATTTAGGCTTCAAGACTAGAGAGAGCATTCCATTGTTACAAATGCACAGCTATCACACACCTGGCAATAAAAATTACAAAATTCCTGGAAATTCAAAAGATTCTATATCTAGATGTTAATCAGTCACTTTTCCTCATTCAAATGGGACTTCAAAGCACAATTCCCAGCAGCCCACCTGTGCCCTGCTCCACAACACACAGACACCCACAAACCCCTTCTCTGCCTTATTTTTTGGGCCAAGGTTTCATACGGTAATGCGTGGCCCTGACACTGTTCTTTGAATGTGTGATGAGCACCCAGTCTTTTAACCTCTAAGCCCCCATTTTCCATTTCACAGGCAGGAATACTGACATTTTTGCTTTAATATTGACATAGGACACATATCTGAAAAAAACATATTTAAGGATGATAATGCTAAGGCAAATGTATGTACATAAGGAGACTGCTGTGGAGCCACGGGCCAGAGGCACGTTCATCGATTTCCACAGTGTGGGTGATGAATTTGTGTTGACTCTCTCTTGTCAAGACCCCTTGTGACCGAGAGCACAGATATTTTAGACTGTTGTCTCAGACTGTTTCACAAGCTCAGAGGGATAGTCAATAGAACTTTTCACTGAGGAAAGGTCTAACTAGCACTAATAAATTCTGACTTTGCCATATCATTGCTCAGAGAAACGGCATGGCCAAGCTGTGTGAGAAACGTTCACTTAGGAAATGCGTAGATAATTTTTTTTTAAACGAGGGTGACGGTGGGAGTGAGTATTTACTAGTCATCCTCTTTAAATCTGCTTTGCAGCAAAAGTGTTGTCTTAGACTTATAGACCCTATAACTCGGGTGGATGTATACCCTGTCATCCAAAAACCAAGACAATTGAGACCCAAAGGAGCACTGTCAATAATTTAGTTGGACTAAAGACATAAAGTGGGCCTGTGGGCTGAAAACTTACAATCACCCTGTTGACAGAGTTGATGAAGATATTTGAGAAGAGAAGGGGAAAAGGATTATCTGTCTGAGAGTGATAAGAAACTCAACAGGAAATGAAAAATATGAACCACCAATCTGTAGACTTTCAGACTATGTGGCAAAAGTGTCTGCAAATTCCTCAGCTTATTTGGCTCATCCATAAAACTGTAAATAATTTTAGCCAAATAAACTTTGTCTTCTAAACTGCAGATACATTTTTAACAAAATCATCATTGTCCATCAACAGTATATACATAGTCAGCTCTGCAACTTTAAACATAACAATAAAAAAGTACTAAGTGTTCTCTCTCTGCAAACTGAAGCACATTATTCACTCAAGCATTCCATATTCATTAAGAAACAATTATTTTATAAATAATCAGAAATATAATTATTTATAAACAATCTCTTTTGCTTCACAAAGGGGAACGGTGCTCCTTTTAAAGCTATATGACAGTCCAAAGCTTGGATTTATAATTCCTGAGACATGGAGATTACAAATTTTCCTCCAGGAAATCAATAAAGTAATTCCCTAAGAGAACAAAGGAATGGTATCATAACCAAGTGTAGACCTACACTAAAATATATTTTAAAGAAATTGAGCCTGAAACAGGTAAGTCCTATTTTAGTACTGATATCCAAGTGGAGTTTATATGTAGATATTGCAATAAAATAAAAGCAGTTTTGCAAATTTTTATATGTTAAAATAATTAATATAGGATACAAATATATATAATCAAGAATAACTTAGAGTCATATATTGAAATCAAGAGCTATGTAAACATGGTAAAATATGAAAAATTTAGGAAAGGTAATACCTTTTCTGATACCCGCATAAGTACTAGTCAGCCCATTTCTCTTCTTTCGGTGTCGATAGAGCCAGATGCTAAAAACCATAAGGATGATCCAACAGGCAGCCCCAATTCCTGCGATGAAAGCCGGCTGCTTCACTACGTCTGAGATCTGCTGAGCAAGGCTGACTTGGTCCTCAGGTGACACAGGATTTCCATGAGAATCTGAAAAGGCCATCTTTGGGTTCATTCAGGTTTAAAACTCAGTGAGACAATAAGCACATGCTTATATACATAAAATGGCCATCATTATGTTGTTAATTTTTGGACAATAATTTCTGCTTTTCATTGCAACAAGTACCATTGTCAGTTAAAAGAGTTCACGAGATTTGGGGCTAGATTATATTCACTTTATATTGATTTGAATTCAAAACAAATATAATGATTTTATGGAATATATTTAAAAACAAAGATAATAGCCCACAATTTCTATGTTTTACTCCAGAAAACTGAAGTTCACTGATGGGATTTTAAGTGCAAACTGAGATAAAATATAAATTACACTTCTAAAAAGTGAAATACTTTAACCCAAGAATACAAATAAAGAGTACTGAATGGTTGTTGTTTAGTTGCTAAGTTGTATCCGACTCTTTTGGAGCCCCATGGACTGTGTGTGTGCATGTGTGTGTGTGGTGTGCATCTCCTCTCCCCCACCCTTGAATAGTCCTAACTACCTAAGTCCTAACTAACTAAGACTCCTAACTACCTCAGAAAAAGATTATTTAAAACTATGTTCAGAAGGGTCTATAAAAATTCAGGATCATTAAAAACCAATGAAAAACTTAGATTATGTTATCATTGAAAGAACTATGAAAAAGTCTGTTTAAAAAAAAAAAAATGGAATTTTTATTTTTATGTTTCTGGCCACACAATGTGACTTGTGGGATCTTAGTTCCCCAGCCAGGGCTTAAACCTGAGCCCTCAGCAGTGACAATGCAGAGTTCTAACCACTGATCTGCCATGGAACTCTTTAAGAAAACTTTCCTTTAAAATAATAACCATGGCCAGAGACAGCTATAAAAACATTAAATATGGACAAGACGATCAAGTGTTATGAATAGTTGAAAAGGCTCCTATTTTCTCTCAGCTATTTTGATTCAAGAATTTAAGATTGGTGGAATTATGGTTATTAAAATTCACTTAGTTCCCATTTATGTTTCAGCCTAAGAGACTCATTGCTCAAGCCCACCATTTTACCAAGTCACACAGAGCAGTCTGCAAAGTCTATAGAAGTCTGAAAGCTGTTCTTCTATCATCAAGGAATAACCTACTTTGTGGGCACTAAGAGATACCAATGCTGAGGATGCCCTGTGGCAGAATTCTTACTATCTGTAAGAATTACTTACTATCTGTATCTGTACTCTTAACATTCTTGGCCTACAACATCTGGTCAAACGGGAAGGTGAGTGCCTATTTCATTAGAATTGGTGCTTTCTTACAATTGTTAAATCATTTGACTCTAAAATTGTTCTCCTAAACCACCTGCTTTAAAGTAGAAACATTTGTTCCAGTCCAAAACTCTTTTTTAAATTTTCCAGAAAAATAATTGGAATAACTCATTGTTTATGAATAATATTTCTCAAATACAAAAAATACAGATTTTTTTTTTCTTATTAAAAGATATTGCTTTCTGATAAGACACTGGCAGGTAAAATAAATAGCATCCAAGGCTAAGGAAACAATCTTAGGAAAATAGCCTTTTCTACATAGGGCTAAATTGCTACTCATGTTGTGTATGGGTGTGTTTTTTATTTGCTTTCTTCTTAAACAGAATTCCAGATTTCATTCTATGGAGGGTCAAGGCTGAAAAATCTATTTTCACAAGCAGTTGCTGTCACCCTGCCTTCAACTGTTTCTTGACTGAAAGTTTCATTTCATGTTCCAGACTCTTTTATCCATGGTTATCCTAAGAGCACTTCATCCTCTGAAAGTTCACCAACCCGATCTATTCTTTTTATTTCTAATACACCCTTTATATCTGTTAGGTTTATAGATTTCATGGCTATTTGTGCAAAGTTAAGTTGGGTGGCTTCAGATTTTATGAAGACAGCTAAGAGGGGTTCCATGCAGGCGACCAGATGGGCTTAGCAGAATAAAGTGCGGTGTGACTAATGAATTAAAATGGCCCTTCCATATCTCAGTCTTTGTCTCACTGCAGCTGAGCCTACAATAAGATATGGAAAACTGGAACACATTTATAATTTCAAGAAAACCAATTTGATCCTTAAATCCTATGATTTAAATCTTAAATAAATAAAGTTACACATGGTCCTTTTTTTCCAATTCATTTTTGAAAACCCAGAACTAGAAGTCATATATTATTTAAAAAATAGGCAAATGACATGACAATGTACAGGGTAATTGCCATGTAACTTTTAGTTTTAGTAAGTTAATACTAACTTTTCATAAAACTAGGCAACTATGTGAGTAAAAAGACCTATGCTTAGACTGTTTTCTCCCTTATCTTAGGTAATACTACAATAGATGCATTGAGCAATTTTTAAAAAATTGTTTTCTATACTGCTTAAAAATTTGGAATAAATGAACCAGAAATAAAACCATGAAGCTATCTTTTTTTTTTTTTTTTGGTTTAAAAGTTGTGCATATTATAATCTCTGCTGAAAAAAAAAAGTGTTAAAGGTAAAAGATATTCTCAGAATTAAATTCTGGCCCATGTCTGCAGCAGAGGCAACAAGCTCTCCACTAGAGGCTTGAATGGTTCTCTCATAGCATAGAGCTCCCAGGGGGGAACTCCCTAGCCAGTGACTTGATTTTGCAGTGTTCCCATTCATCTGCTTGGAATCACAAAACCAAACTCTATTCAGCAGCGACACAGTTTCCATTTAAACCTTGCCCCACACTGTATGTGTCTTCTCTTCCTTTCTGCTGGCCCAGGGTCAACCTTGGAAGCCGCATCAACCTGAGACTCTCCATTGCTGGACTTCAGGTGGACTCCATGTCACTTTACAGAAACTCTGCAAGTGTATCTGGTACAGAAGATGGTATTCTCTTGACAGCAGAACATCAAGGACAGTTTCCAAATTGAATGTAAAGTTCCTTATGTACAGCAACAAAGTTTATTAAAAGTAGAATGTTTCTTAATTTTTTTCTGAGACAATTTCTAGGATGTCATCAATATTACCAACATGAAAAATTACTATGTACTTATTTGTGATATACGAAGATTCATGTATCTGATTCTTTTTCATAATTTAGCAACTGACATCAAATACTACTAATGCTTAATTTCTGATCTGGAAGGAACAAAGTCGACTATATGCTTCTCAGTATCATGGAATTTAAATATCATCTCTTAACATCTCTTAACACCTTTTCTCTCCCCCTTCCATTTACAATTTTGTTGCTGTTTTTTTGTTGTTGTTGTTTCTTTTAGATTTGACTATACCATTTGATAAATTTGAATTTTATGTTTATGTCGCTATAATGAAGTATGGCAACTAAGTGTTCCGCCAGTTTTTTATTCCTCTAACTAGTTTTGAAGCACATTGTATTTTTAACTTTCTAAGTAACTAGCATTTACCATATTTCAATGCTCTTCAACATCTCAGTCTATCTTTTGTTATCACATCCAATTTTAAATAGACAAAAATGGTAAATATAAATTGCATATTTCTCTAAACTTTCAATACTTAGTTTAAGTTTTGCATAGAAATATTTTTTTTTACCCAAACCACATCTTTTCTGTTCCCTGAGTATCCTTTGTTGTTTTTTAGTTGCTAAATCCTGTCCTACTCTTTTGTGACCCCATGGACTGTCAGGCTCCTCTGTGCAAGGGATTCTCCAGGCAAGAATACTGGAGTGGGTTGCCATTTCCTTCTCCAGGGGATCTTTCCTACCCAGGGATCGAACGTGGGTCTCCTGCATTGCAGACAGATTCTTTACCATGGAGATACCAGGAAAGCCAAGGGGATATCACTGGTGCTCAATTAAGAATATTTGTTGAACAGATGGAAGAAAATTCAATAGGGCAGAATAAGCATGATACTGAATATTTAGTCTTTTGCTCAAAATACCATTTAAAATGTTTGTTCGGATAAGTTTAAATTTAGCTGTGATATTACAGACAGATAAAACAAAGCTAACAATCTTATTTTTGTAATTCTATTGCCACATTCCATAGTCTGTGCAACTTGCACTGGTTGCCTCCACTACAAAAAAGAAAAGGAGGACAATGGGTACAGTGATAAGTCTTTCCAACCAGATCTGCACTGGCACTCACCTAACTGGATGAACTGTGGCTCACTCTTCACCCCTGACCCGGCCCCCGTGCTGGCTGCCACCTCTACACTATATCGGATGCCAGGAACCAGTGAGGGAATAACCACAGAAAAGGTGGAACCATCTACTGTCTTGTTTATATGGTATCGTGTTTCATTGCCCAGACACCAAACCTGTAAGAAGAGCACAACAGTTAATGTAAGTTAACATAAAGATCAACATAGTATTGTGGTTTTAGACCTAGACAGAGTTCAGATCTATCATGAACCTAATATAGGAAGTTTCAAAAGTCATTTTCCCCTAGATCTAGTTCTGAGAAGATGCTTCCTGTCAAACTTCATGTTAGTAGTACGTTAAAAACTTCTCTGAACTTTCTTATACACTCGTAAAGGATTATATGAAGTGATTCTACAAATGTTTCTACAGATGATTATATCAGGTGAATCTACAAATGATTCTACAAAGACCCTGGTTCTTATCAACGCTTATCAACAGGATTTGCTTTAAAAAAAAAAAAAAAAAAACCTAGGTATTATACTCCAGAAAAAGATAAGAGGAACTTGCAAAAACCTGTATATATCCAAATAAAGAACAGTAACTTAAACCTATCATCATTAAGTATCTGCATTTCTACTATAGACCAGGCATAATACCAGATATCACAAAACAAAAATGAGTGTCTAATATTTTATTTCAACACTTCTCTGGGATAAAATTACCTGGTGCTGTCACAGCGCCATCGCTTTTTATGTCAGAACCAAGAAGCAGTTGATTTAAAGAGAGAGTTTCTGAATAATCTAAACTATCTTGGCATAAACATGGTTTTTAAAAATAAAACAAGGACACGTTTAGCACATGGATCTCTGCTCAATGTTATGTGGCAGCTTGGACGGCAGGCGGGTTTGGAGGAGAACGGATACATGTGTATGTATGACTGAGTCCCTTGGCTGTTCCCCTGAAACTATCACAACATTGTTAACTGGCTATACCCCAATACAAAATAAAAAGTTCATAGTAAATAAAGAGATGGAGCCAGGACCTATTAGAGAAGTCTTTTCCTGAAATATGTGTTTCAGACCACCAAGACCTAAAAAATAAATAAAACTGAACATAAAGAGTAAGGATCATCCTAAGATTTATTCCATCTATAGGATGCTGAACTATTATCAATGAAAGAAAAATAGCACTCTGATCTTGTATTTATGCCAATATTAATCAGTTTTTGATAAAAATACAAGATCCTAATAACAATACATATTTGATTTGAAAGAAAACTATTCTAATAAGAAAATTATTGTATTTCTCATTAACTTTAATGATATTTGTGGTAGGAAATTATTTTTAGGAAATTAAGATTTCCGAACTATGCTATAATCCTTAATTTAAATTTCTCTAAAGGATTATTGAATTATTAGAGTAATCTTTTGCAATGTTGTTGATCTTGGATATGATGCATGACAGTATCTGGACTCAATTTCTATAAGAAAATGATCCATGCAATAGTAAAACATGCTCTGTATTCTTTATGATGTCCTCAAGCAAGATGCAGGATTATTTTCAAGTAGCCTATTGTTTAAACTGTAATAGGAAATAGGATTTAAAATGAATCTAAGAATGTCAGTGTCCTCTTTCACATGGGCAAAAATCTTTTTTGCTTTGAAAGTTAATATTATTTTAATATAGTTTCAATGCATAATACCAACAAATGGTCAGACTCTATACCAGGGTCTGATCATTTGGAAATAAAGAGTCCTTTGTGATTTTTTTCCCCCAATTACATTACACAGCTGAACCAAAGCCACAAACTGATTTTGTACCAGTCAATCAGGTTGTGAAAGGCATTTTATTATTTTAAATTGACCATGAAGTTAAATGAAATCCACCCTTTCTCATTTCTTTAGGAGAGAAATGAGTTTTGACTCTTAGGGGAAAATGCCTACATTAACACAATTTTGCTTGAGAGCTTAGACATCGCCTTATTCTATATACTTAAAAATCTCTATAACAGTTTATTTTTCCAGACTGAACCATAGCATCCCAGTATTGAATTAATCTTGAAACTCATGAGAAAGTTCTTCAAAGTGTAGAGACTCTTACCTATTAATCACTCAATTAGAGTAGAAGATCTAATTTCAAATACCCTAAAATACACACAGTACAGTATTTTAAATACTTTTAAAAAAATGTCACCCCTTTAAATTTATACATAAATTCATAAAGAGGTTTTTAGTTTGTTTTTAAAAGTTATTTTAAAATAAAACGTTATACCTAAAATTGAGCTCAGTATATTTGGCCGTTGTACAAATTATTTTGGTACTCAGAAGTATATTTATGGTCTTTATTTGGGCCTTACCCAAAAGTACATATCAAAATCACCTGGAAAGATCTACCAAAGTATATAAACAAGGGCCTTATTATCAATACTGAATCAGAATCTTTCAGAATGGTGGCCATATACCTATATTTGGAAAATGATTCCCTAAGTAATTCTGATGTTAGCAAGCAATAACCTGTAGAACATAAACATGTATTTACTTTCTTACCGTCAATTTCATATCAATAGAAACAGGTAAGTTTTCACATTTATGAGGCAATTCAGTAAATATAATTCAACTGGTAACTAGAAAAATACTGAGGTACCATGGACATATAAGGCACTGTCTATAGAAATACACATTTTGTAGTTAAAAGGTTTTCTAGTATATAATATGTTTACATACATATTGAAAAAATACAAGTGAAATTTACTCTCTTGTGTGACTTCCCTAATTCAATCTATCATTTACTCATTTAACATAGCCCATTAAGACTGTGCTATAATGCTTATTCATTAATAGGATAAATCTCATGTCCCTAACTTAATTTTATTCTACTCTGGCATGCTTGAATATATTTGCTTGAAATTAATCTAGGTAAGCCTTTCTAAATTCAATGATTAGACATGATTAACTTCACAGGTAAAAATAAATATTTAGAATCACTGAATTAAATTACTTTCAATATATCATATGTTTTAAAAATTTCATTCAAACATATATGGAAATTTAAAATTGAATTTCCTCTGAGACATAAAATTTTGTTTAGAGATGCTGAAAGATGAAAATAAATTTATTAAAAAATTTTTAGGCACACTAAAATAATTTTTCCAACTTAACTCCAATGTTACAAAATTCAAAATGTGTTGAAAGAAAGAAAGAAACCATATCTGATACAATTCTGTGGGGCAAACTAATTCTGCAAATGCATTTAACCTGGATTGGCGGGGGGCGCAGAAATTTTGATTAGCGTTTACATGTGTTGTTTGTGTGAGCACCTATATATACTATGAACAGGTAAATACTCTCTTTTAAATTATTTTTTGTTTCAAACTGCTTAAGAAAAAAGTATTTCACAATTATTGACTAAACAAAGTATTTAAAAAATAATTTATGTTGCTGTGCCTACCAGCAGATGGCGCCAAATATCCATGACCAATATAACCAAGTTTGCTTTTTTACTATACATGTATTTACCTTATACTCTTGGACCATTCCATTTTGATTATCTTCAGGAGGTGGCTGCCAGCTAACCAGAATTGCAGTTCCATTTCCATCATTCTTTGATACAGTTACACTTTGAGGTGGGGCACTGGGTGCTATTAAATTGTTTTAAAGAGCAGGTTTATAAATAAGCATACTAGAAAACATTGAAAGCAGGCATTTAAACCATTAAACAAAACATAGAAAGTTTATGACTATATATATATATATGTGTATATATATAGTTTTTAAAGATATATCTCATCCAAGTCTGATTAGTCCCAAACTATTTAAATTTTTCCTCAATACAGCTAACCTATTGTTATTGTGCATTTTCTATAACCAAAGTGATATATATAATCTCCACAAAACATTCCAGGAGAATTCCTCTCTCTCCTACCATAGTCCCATGTTCTCCCTAAAATGTTCAGAAGTATAAACACTAACCATCCATGACAATAACTGTATTATAATTTATTGTAATCAAAGGAACAATTAAGGAACAATTCTTGTTATTTTTAAAGATTATACTTGTGACATGTAACTTGTAAACTTTATGTAAATACTAATTTTAATTTCCAGTTATACAGTGGCTAAACATACTGGTTTGTGTAGAGCTGAGGGGTTTCTAGGGACATGAGCCATAAAATGTTAATCCCAGTAGGTCCTGGGCAAACCAAGACATTACTCACTTTATTTACAAATCATCACTCAAAGTAACATTTGATAAATGAATGAAAAAATTAATGGAAAGGCAAGCAAATTGAGGATAATTACATCTTTAAATATGAATTTTAGTTCTGAATAATTAGATATATCCAAGATATGTCATTAAGTAATACAATGTTCACATTTGCACATTTTTATATAGGCCACTTTTAAAGCAAGTCAAGTATTACAGACTTTGGTTTTTAGTAGTTCTAATTAAATAACTTCTATTAACAAAATATAATGCTCACTACCAAGACAGTTAATAATGTCACTATTACCATTAAAAATTTTCAATTAAGTTAATAAAAGTAATGAAAGTTTTACAATGCATAGTCATCACACATTTCATTATACTTGCCTTCTTCTAGGGTTTTGGCAAATTTAATTTCACTATCTGCTCCTTGAAATTCATTAAAAAAAGGACGAGCCTTAATTTCATAGTTGACTCCTTTTTTGAGATCAGGGATAACCACACTATTTTTGGTTGGGGTCCTCACTTCAAAAACTAACCACTCGGATTCACCATGGTTGGCTCCAGATGGGCGGTAAAGAACTTTGTATCCTTGAATATACTGAGACTGTTGGTCCACCTATTACAATGACAAATAAAACGCAATCACTCATGCCTTCCATTGACTTTTTAGAAAATCATGAAAATTAATGTGACAAAAGGCAAAAAAGTTCTATCTGGCTTCTTCTCACAGTTTTCTAGTCTATATGAAGTAGAATATGAAAAACAAATCACTATCTTTTGTAATCTGTCCACTTCTCCAGCCTAATGCATAATATTAGCTATTAATTTCTATGCTTCATGCAGAAATATGGTGCGCTATGGCAGTGCTCTGGTAGACACTGAGAGATAAGTCAGTGTCAAGGGGATGAGGACACAAGTGTTTTCCATTTTCTAATTTTAAAAGACTACTTAATGCGATTTAGAAATAGTTCTCAATGAAAACATTTCATATGTTAATAATTCCATAAGTTAGATATACTCTTTTGAAGAGTGTTAGGAATATATAGCTTGTTTCCTTTGAGACTGGTAAAGTTCACTGGGTTTTTAGGCACTCAATCCTGTCTGACTCTTCGCTATCCCATAGACCACAGCCCGCCAGGCTCCTCTGTCCATGGGATTCTCCAGGCAAGAATACGGGAGTGGGTTGCCATTCTCTCCTCCAGGGGATCTTCCCAACCCAGTTCATTACTGCAGCACAATCTAAAATACATGCAAGATAACCTTTTTCTCTGTTTAAAACTATTTCATAGCTATCACAACAAACAATGTTTACATTATAAAATTACCATTGGTGGAGAAGTAAGGAACAGATATATATACTTTAACTATCTGTTATATATATATGTATATTTTTCATATAATGATCTCTAAAAAGTCATCTGCTTATTAAAACTGAGAACAAATATTACAACAGCAACAACGACTCACTGTCCAGTGCACTTCGATTGAAGAGGAGGAAAGGATGGTGGGGTTGTGGAGATGCAGAACAACATTTCCCAGTTCTCGCTGGACCTGCTTGTGATCCACCCCCTGACTGGTTGGGGGAACATCTGCAACAATCCCAGAAGACTGTGTCAAAGCCTAGGCAATGTTTCTGACTTGAATTAAAGCATGGGGAAACAATCCTTTCATTCATAGAAAATCTCAGAAAAGAAGAATCATTCCAACTGTGAAGAATAATTCCAATCTGTGCTACAGAAGAAAATAGGAACAACTTAACCTTTTTACTAGAATCAGGAGGACACGGCATACAGAGAGAGATAACAAGCAGAGGGCATATAGAAAGCAAAACAGAGCAGGTGGCAAAAATAACAATGGCAAACAGCAGTGTTTGACAGCTCCTCCTAATCATGTAATGATCGCTTTCTTGCCTAGGATGAATGGCTTAGTGCAATCCCCTCTGAGTTTGCTACAGAACCTTCTGTAGCGATCCTAACTATGCAAGAAAGGAGATATCCAGGTTTTGTAATGCAGTAGATGAGTAACGAAGAGAATGGAAACACCTAAGTGAAAAGCAAGCAAAAAAAGAAATAAGACACTCCTCATCTTATATGATAAACCTGGATATCTTTCCAAATAAGATATAAGTTAGTGGTTATAAAATGGGGTATGGAAACCATCAACAGTAGCCCTGTCAAAAAGGTTCAATAAAGAGCTTTATATCTCAAAAATATCAACATTTTTAGAAAGGAGACCAAGAATATAGTAATAATTAAAACCACTACTGTGTTCATTTATGTTGGATTTTTTTTCCCAACAAAGAAGTATTTTTGCTAAACTTACTAAAAAGTCTGTACTTGATAAAAGCTGCCTGTTTCTAGAGAGATTTTCTAAATACAGATGCTTTGCTTTGTTTACATTAGTATGAACAAGAGAAGAAAATCAATACTTTTATATCCAGAATTGTCCTTCTCAAATACTGTATTTTGGTACAAATATTCTAGACTATTTTCCATCTCATAAGCAACAGAAACAAGAATTTTAGTTTTATGATTAATTAAATAAAGAACTGAGTTTGGATAGAAAACAAAAACATGGATACTAAAAGTGAGATCAGTTATCTGGGAAAATAATTTTAAAAAGAGTGGATATATGCATTTGTATAACTGATTCACTTGCTATACACTTGAAACTAACACAACACTGTAAATCAACTATACTTCAATAAAAATTTTTACAAATGAGGTTTGTAAGTATCTTTGATGGAGTTCAGGGAAGGCAGGCAAATGAAAGAGACGACAGATCAAGAGTCCTATTCAAGCATCTTTGATGTAAAACCTTGATTTTATACACATACACATATATATATACACACACACACACTGAGCCACTGACATAAACTTATAAATAAGCAAAATGAGAAAAACTGAGTTTTGGCTTCTCATACTTTATCATACATTAGGAATAGCTTTGGCTTACCTTGGTCTTCAGGCCACAGACTATAGATAGAAAATACTTGATTGTAAGTTTTCCATCTCAGGTATATTTCCCTACTCAGGTATGTTTCCCTACTAGTCTCCATTGCTCGTAGAACTTAATTACCATCTATCTCTAGGGTAACAGTGGCATTCACGGACAGAATTGGAAACTCCCCAACTCAGCCACTTGACAGCTATGTAACACTGGGAAGATTTTGTAACCTCACTACTTTCCAGTTACCTCATCTGTCAAATGGCAGTATCAGTGGAAGTCATTTTGGAGTGTTTTTGTGAGAACTGAATTTCTTAAGGCATATAGAGTCCTTTTGTTGAAGGGAGGGATTGGGTCCATTTTTATGAACCCAGAATACCTAGCACAATGACATACATATAGAATGTGTTTAATTAACACGATGAGCTAAAGTGAATTATTGTATGGAACACATACACATATTATACATATTAGCTTCTAAAAATGCTCTCTCATATGTAAGATTCCATCCTCAGAGAAATTGTCTGCCTTCTAGGAAGTATCTTCAAACATGTCAGTAATCATTTTTAAAGGTAACTACTATAATTTGCATGAAATCTCTAATTTCTCTGGTTGAGGTAACCTTGCTAGTTAATCCTCTCATGAAAGTTTCTAGATTCTCTTGCCTACTGAAACCATCCTGGAAATAGAACATTATTTCAGAAAATTCCTCACAAGAAAGAAAAATAGAAAGTAATGTTTAACAGTGCAATATTGAGGCATTTATTAATTGGTATCTTTGTTGTTCTTGTTTTCCTTCTCCTCCTGAAAGAAGTGTATTATGATGTAAAAGGTCTTTCCAACATTCAGAATCAAACTTGGAGGAAATCTTAGATATGATTTTACCCCTGCCATTTCCCCAGTATTGGAATTTCCTAAACACGATCTTTGAGGGTGGGATTATTCAGGTCCCTATCATTATTTACAATAATGGGTCTCTTATTACCTAGAGACCTAGCCTGTACAGGTATCCTGTACATTCTGTGTCTGTGTACACACTCTTTAAAAGACAGGGTTCAAGAATATTGTATGGACAGAATGTAGATAAAGAATAGTATTAACAGTGGCAACAACCACCTTCATTTCAGCAATGTCTCCAATCCCCCCACCCCACCTGCTAGCTGCTCATATCATCTCCCTCGCATTATCAAATCTTATATTTGAGAGAGCACATTTTGATTACCCTGATATAGGGTTACTGTGACATTAGTCTACCTGACTCCTGAACAGGAAACTATGCCCTATATATGCGCAACTTTAACTTATGACCCAGTTTACTCATAGGAATCTCCACTTGGGGAAGACGTTCTTGCAACCATGCTGCAGAAGCAGTTAAAGAAGTTATGCTGGGATTTCCTTGGTGGTCCAGTGGTTAACAATCTGGGCTCCCAATGTGGTGGCCAGGTCTGAGCCCTGGTCAGGGACCTAGATCTCATATGACACAACTAAGAGTTTGAATGCCACAACTAAAGATCCCATGTGGCGCGCCTAAGACCTAATGTAGCCAAATCAATCAACCAGTCCATCAATACTAAAAAGAAAAATTATGAAAACAAGAAGCTTGCCTGCTTCTTGTGAATCAATTTCCAACAAGTCTTTCCTGACTTCCCTCCACCTCGGCTCTTCCCCAGCTGCTTACGCATTCTGTTTCTCTCAATTGGATTTTCCCAGGTTCTTCCCAGGCTCCTGCTATGGTCTGACTCAGCTCAGTTTCACTGTGTCTCAAAAGCCATTTAAAACTAGACAGTGAAATTTGCCTCAATGTTAACTTCCATTCGCTGGTCTTATTTAGTTGCCTGGAGTTAGTAGAAGCATATCTTGCTCACACAAAAGTCTCTTAAAATATTAAGGAAAAAAAAATATCAAGCCTAGTCTAACTTTATTATTTTGGGGGGTATTTTTTGTGCCAAGTTCTGGATTTTTTTTTTTTCCAGTGATAATTTTAGCTTTCAATGCAGCCTCCCCAACCATCCTCGTCTTCCTCTTAAATATCTTAAAATTCTACCTGAAATTGTAGTGCTCAAAAAAGAACACATTACTCTATTCGTGATCTGACCAGTTCAGATTTTGCTCTGCATTTAATTCTGCTAAGACTACATTTGATTTTCCGACAACTACTCACTCAGTTGGCTCTGGGAGGTGTTCTAATTGACTTCAAACACTGAAGTCAGCCTCCCCCTGACCCTGCCCTCAACACACCCAATGCACACATTCCTTTTAAGCCCAGTATCCTCAGCCTATCCTTCTATAGCTAAATTTTAAAACCTAAGTTCAAGTACCAGGTTTTAAAATTTGCTCCATTAATTTTAATCTTGTTAGTGCTGGCCCATCATTCCAGTCTGTCGAGTTACTTAATTCTGGTTCTCTCATTCAGCATGCGAGCTGTGTTTCTCAAATTTTATGAACTTCCCTTATTTTTAGTCCAGTGAAAGGAATACAAATCCAATGACAAATGACAAAGTCTTATGGTATAACATAGAAAAGAAATCTGAGTCTTGCATATTTATAAAATTGGCTAGTTTAATCCTTGTCCAATCCTATGGGAGTAGGGATTTTTAGCCCCATCATACAGTTAAGGGAACCAGTGCTCAGGACTCACTAGCTTGCTAATAGATTGAGGAGCTGAGAAACAAATTCTTTGATTTCAAAACTGTATGTCTGTTTCACTGTTTCCAATTTTCCAGCTGACATGGGTTCATTTCATTTAGGTTGTTCTACTAGCTATCATGTATAAAGGAAAGTAGATTAAAATTTTTAAAAACAAGTTAACAGATAAATCATTAACTACTCCTCATTTACAGCTGAGGATGTATTTTACAAAATCATTCATATGTGTATATGACAGAATCACAGTTAATCAAAAACTTTCACTAAGGTCTACTGGGTAGAGACCACTACACTGGGGACCAAAGTTTCAGTTCAGTTTACAGCTGTCCCAGTTTCTGCATTCTTTACAAATGCGTATATAACATTGAAAACCTCAAACTGCCTTAAGGCAGGCTCCGAGACTATTAAAGCTACTGGTGAAGTGACTCATAATAGCAAATATATGCATTTGGGTGTGTTGATTTCACACAGCAAGAAACAGACATGGGCGTGTTCCATAGTTCGGTTTGCTTTTTCTGGGAATTCTGAAACAAAACGTCCTTCTCAAAAGGTTTATACACTCTCTAGAGAAGACAAAATGCCCCACATGGCAGCTAGACTCTCTCTCAAACCTGGAAAAAGTAATTTAAATCTTTCAGTATTTCTGTGTACAATTTGTTTCTATCACTGTAACTAAGTTTCAATTTTTGCTTTGGAAATACACAAAGATAGAGACATTATGATTCCTCTGTATGTTGACAAAAGAATCTTATATTTCTAATTCCTACCATCTAAAGCTAACCTTTCTTTACTAATCTTATATGAATAAAGTACATTTTAACTGTGATGACAATACGTTAAAATAAAAGGTATAGGTTGATTCAAATTCACCTTTTTTTCTATATATAAGTTTTACCACTGCTTAAACATTAAAATAACAGGAGGAACAAGAAGGTGAATAGGAGATAATAACCTGTTGAAGGCTAAAAATAATTCCTATTCATGAAAGACAATAAAAAGCAGTATATCCAGAATGTGGTTCAAGTGAAAAAATTTCCAATTTCAAATGTGTTTAGAAGCAGCTTCAACATGTTCACTTTTCCTTGTATCTGTTTCTTTAACCCAGCTTTGATGAACACATACATGATTTCCATTGGAAAGTTTAATATGTTATGTTTCACATAACTGACAATGAAAGATGGAACAAAGAATATACAGACCTAGATTATTCTTTTCCATGCTTTGTAGGAGATTGGACAGAGGGGTTAAGAACAAACTATCTCTTACATTTGTGTGATTTCTAGAGAGTGTTACTTGATTATGTTTGTAATGTTCAAGACTCATTCCAAAGGTCATGAATATTAATCTCATAAACAAAGTTTACTTAATTTTAAACACAATTAAATATTTTGTGATTTGTGATTAAGATTAAATCACAAAAAGATGTGTGATTAAGATTTTACATTCATATGTATTTAAAAATCAAGAAACTGAATATATTCTAAAAATATTCCCATAATATTTTTGCTCACTGGATTTGTGACTTTATAAAATGAGAAACATTTCTTTGTTATTTGTCAAGTCATGGAGTAGTCAAGAAAAGAAAGTTTACAAACACCATGATTTAAAAATTAATTGAGCAACTTAAACAGATATATTTTAAATATATAATCTTAGCATGTAGTACAAATGGTTTTATTTGTATAACTGTAACATCTAAAGATAAGTTAGGTGTCCCAAGGCTGAGTAAATCAATACTTACCTTGTGTTTTCACTGGGTCTGATATCTGGCTTGGATCACTAATTCCATATGCATTGGCTGCCCTCACAAGGAAAAGGTAAATTGCATTAGGTTTGAGTCCTTTAATGGCGAATGTTTCTGTTTTCACATTCTCTGCTACGGTCTGCCAGCTGCTACCAGATGCATGGCTATGGATAGATATACAAGTTAGAATATGCATATTTAATGGTAAATCAAAAAAGAGAACTAGGAAACACCATCTTTGCTCTACCTGAAGGCTTCTATAATATAAGACGTTGGAGTTGCACCTGAATTCAAATTTGGTTGCCATGACAACGTTACTGTATTTCGGCTGACATCTGTAACTTCAGGTTTTGAGGGGGCACTAGGGATTAAATTTGGGTCAGTGGGTCTTGGAGGCTGAACTGGAACTCCAAACTCTAACAAAGAAGAAAGAAATGAAAGATGCTTACACAGAGAAGAACATAAATGTAGATAAAATATCCATCCCCTACTTAGACTTCAAGACATCCACTTCATCTTTTTACCAGGAAGTAAACAACTACATTTCAAGCTTCACTTTAAGGTAAAATACTATCAAATTTACCTTGGACTTCAATGTAAGCACTCCATGTTGCTTCACCACTGGGGGTTGATGCAATGCACGTGTATCGACCAGTATCACCCAGCTGAGAAGACAGAGGGAAAATAAATATCTGGAGCAATCAAGAGCTCACTGGGCTGGAAAAACAGTTATAGTTTTGTATATGGCCCATGGATATGGATAGCTGCCTTAAAATGCACTAACTAGCAGCTTCCTCTTAATTTAACATGTTTTTATTGAATGTGAATTAAAATACTGCATGAAGACAAAGACAAATTGTTATTCTAATTGTGTGATAAAGATACAGTATTTAAGTGCATTAACAGCATCAATTTCTCTGTTAGGGACAGTACAGGAGGTATATAACCTTAAATTCAAAGGGTTAATCTTTAATACTGATTTATATTTCATATTTACTAAGTCACATAGTAAGGCTAATAAAGTATAGCCAATGACTCTTCTTGCTGTTTCATATTTTACTTGAGTTACATCCACATGGATAAAGGAGATAAACAGATATTTAAAGAAAATGGATAGATACAAAATGATTTCTTCTTAAAGCATTCCCTCTTTTTCCTCACTTTATTTTTTAACCCGTAACTTCAGGCAGTTTAGCAAGTATAAAGTTAGACCCCAGCTAGAATGATGCTCTCTCCCCTTTCAAAAGACTGGCTGCCAGAAAACAAACACAGGTCACATGTTCAATGGTAAAATCCTCAGTAGCATAATGAGCCCATATACCTCTGCTTAAGGCAATAGCTCTATCATCAAATTATATTGGATAAAGCAAGAACACTATCATCTTGTTCTGGCAATTGTAATAACAAAATCACAATCATTGTCGCAAAAAAGTACAACATATTAACTTTCATGGCACATGAAATGAACTATGTTGATCCAAAACTCCAAAGCTGCTGCTCACAATAGGCAATAAAGCAATTGAAATTTATGTTTATTGCTGTCAAAGCTATTCTTTCACATGCCCCATGAGCTTGTCTCACCTTGACCTAAAATGAAAAAGAAAAATCAAAACAAAACAATATAGTCCTGAAAAGAACAGGTATGGGATGTGATGTCCTGGGAAGGTAAATCCCTAAATTGTTCCCACAAACCTGTGAGATTTCATCATTTCACATTCTGATTTGAAATGTACATTGAATCTATACACTGCTTTATCATTTTTGTTTGCATGTAGAATATTCTGTAATTGCGAAATGCTGAACCAAACAGTCACAATAGAACTCTTGAAGCTTACAGCACATAATATAGTACTGGAAAATAACTTTGAAAGATCGAAGGAATGTATTCTATCACTGCTTGGAAGGTATTTTTTTCTCCCACAAATTCTTATCCTTTTCTCCTCCATGTAAAATTTTAAACTACTTGAGTTAAATTACGAGTCATTATCACCAGAAATATACACAGAGAAGTGTCCGAAAGAATAAAGCATCGAATTAAAAATATATTAATACTGCTATTAGCATTTCATTATTTCTAAAATTTGAGGCTTCAACACTGGTTTGCTGGAGGCAAAAGCAAAGTGGAACAAAATGGGAAACCCAGGGTGTCACAAGTTACCTTAGCATATCGGATCTGTAGTACTCCGGTCTCCAGCTGTTTGATTCGAGAATCTTGGGTTGAAACAAGGACTCCATCCTTTCTCCACAGAATTGTGGGCACTGGACTGCCTGTGGCCACACAGCTGAGCACTAAAGTACCATCCACTGCTACAGTCTGATTCACAGGACCTTGTCGAATGACTGGGGGAGGTCGGTCTGCAATCACTGCCAGCAAAAACAACAGGAAATAGATTTCTGCAACTGGAAGCAATTTTCTAATCATCTGAGCAACAGCAGTTGCTCTAGGCTTTGAAACACACTAATTAAACAAGTAATTAAAGTAGGAGACATGCATTATTCAGAATGCATTTCTATGATGTACTGATTCAGAATATGAAAATGAGATACAATGTACTCCTTCCAAGTGACCAACCACTGACTAGGCTTGCTGCATTGTCCAGGGACCTATTTAATTTAAGAGTTCAGAGACTAAATGAGGGTTGTGGATTGTGAAGATGTATGGTGGTGAGAAGTGGAGTACTGTGCTTTTTAAATTTTAAAATATGTACAACACAAAATGACAACAAAAAAACTATTTACCCCAAGGAAATGTATGAGACAGATTTTCATAAATGAACCAAAGCCAACTTGATAATTGTTCTGTGTCCAATAGACAGAATGATGGTATCACACCAGCATGTTTGATAATTTTGTATCCGAAAACATGCTTTGGACTTTGATAACTGACAAATAAATATGATTGAGCTCTTTTGATATTGGAATTTTTTCTATTAAAAGAGTACATGCTTAAACATATCTCAGTCCTAATAGATTCAGGGAAACTGGAAAACTGCCCCAAAATACTGTTGGTAGGTGGTAGCTCAGGTGATAAAGAATCTGCCTACAATGAGGGAGACCCAGGTTTGATCCCTGGGTCAGGAAGATCCCCTGGAGAAGGAAATGACAGTGCATTCCAGTATCCTTGCCTAGGAAGTCTCATGGACAGAGGAACCTGGTAGGCTACAGTCCTTGGGGTCTCAAGACTCAGGCAAGACTTAGTGACTAAACAATGACAAATCCAAAAATATAACTCAAGCTGATACCTAACTCAGGAAATAATACACTTCCATATCGGAATTATAGGAATGGCAAGATGCTTTCACTAATTGTATTATTTTAACAGTTTTAACATCCTATGAAAGGAAACAATGGAAGGCAATTTTTATAAAATAGAAATAAAATTATTTGTATTACATGCTGCTACTGCTGCTGCTGCTGCTAAGTCGCTTCAGTCGTGTCTGACTCTGTGTGACCCCATAGACGGCAGCCCACCAGGCTCCCCCATCCCTGGGATTATCCAGGCAAGAAAACTGGAGTGGGTTGCCATTTCCTTCTCCAGTGCATGAAAGTGAAAAGTGAAAGTGAAGTCGCTCAGTCATGTCCGACTCTTTGCAACCCCATGGACTGCAGCCTACCAGGCTCCTCCATCCATAGGATTCTCCACGCAAGAGTACTGGAGTGGGGTGCCATTGCCTTCTCCGTTTTATTACATGAAAAAAATCTAAAAACCTTATCTGAGACAATAAAATCATAATTTTAGGGAAAAATCCACAACAACTGTAGTGGAACAAGAATAAATCCTGCATTAGAGAGATCTTCTATCCCTTGACCTCAGCAATTTAGGTGAAATTTCATAGATAGTTTTGTAAATGATTAAACAAACAAAAAAAGTTCAGTTTTCATTATTAAACTTTAAAATTCTGAATATTAGTTAAAACATTTTATGTCATGAATATTCAAAAGACAAATCTAAGAAATTGCCTGCTTAAAGAAAACTGGTTGCCAGAGTAACTAAATTTTGGATGCAACATTTTCAAGCCTGGATGTGTCACGTTCAAAGTTTTATGCACCAAAGATTCTGCACAAGCTGGAGTCACACTTCAATTTGTTCCTCATTTATCATGCAATAATTATTAGTGTTGGGCATTCAATCTAAGAAAAACAAGAAAGCAAGAGAGTGAAATTAGCAACTGTGCATTTTCACTTCGCCCTTCCAATTCTCTTCCATCTTTGGTTGCTGGTGTGAAATTTGTTAATACTGTAGGGGTGTATTAGAAGGCTGGAGGTTGAAACTTGGCAGGAATGTTTCAGATACTCCATGGGTGAAAACTATAAGCCAATAATTCCTTTGCTTAGAGTTGTTTAATCTTTTCTACATTATCTGTTAAGTTTGGCTAAAATCAAATTAAATGCCCCTCCTGGTATGTATGAAAAAATAATGATAATGTTTTATTGCACTGAGGTTTTTATAAGACTCTACCACTTGTGTTCCCCCGATTCTAAGAATGAATGAATATAATGAATATTTATTTCTAGATATTAATTAAATTAGTAACAGAGTGGTTCTTTATAACTGACTATAATTAAGCCCAGTAGTGCAGTGGTTTACTTTCACAGTCTTGTCATATTTAGCAATAATTCAGTATCTGGGGATTTATCCAACTTTCTGTGTCTTCACAGTTCTTTGATATTTGCCTCATATTTAGCATCCCCCACTTACTGATTTCTTCCTGGTTTACCTTGGGTGGTTTACAAAAATAAGCAAGAAAAGAGGAGCAGGCTTGATTATCAGCCTCTACCATCTGTCATGTGTCTTCAGGCAAGTTCTTTATATTATCTAAGTCTCTGGTTTTTATCTGTAACATGAGGATAATAATACTTGTTCTAACCAGCTCCAGGGACTGCTATGAAGATTTAAGCGGAATAATAAATATTCCATGTGCTTTGCTAATTGCAAAAAGCTAGACATTTATATGAATTGTGAAATCACTACTTACCCTTTTCTATAAAATAGTAATATGCAAATCAGAGGCAAAAAAGTTCATTAAAGCAATTTTACATTTTTAGGTAAGACAACGGAATATGCTGGTGTCACAGATTAGAATAAAATCCTGATAAAACATCTAAAGTTACACAAACTAAAGTGCATAACACATTTACAAATCAACCCTAAATTTAGGACTATGAGAAAACTTCAAATAAAGAGTCTAATAGCTCACATTTGGGTTATTAGAATGAATTATCAGGTAGTAAAACAGGATGTGTAAGAAACAAATATGATTTAAAGAAAGTGTGTGCATGGACTTTAGAATCAGAAGGATTCAGCACTGTAAAATGAAAATGTTCCACATCTGTGCTCTCTAATATAGAAACCAAGGACTTCAAGTGGCTACTGAGCATCTGAGTGTGGTTGGTGTGACTGTGGAACTTTAAGTAATTTTAACTGTTATTTAAATAACCTCATGTGGCAGGTGGCTACTGTGCTGGCCGGTGCAAACTTTGTGGTTTTAAATCTCAGTTCTGCTAGCTAGTATCGGAAGGCTCTGGGTATATCTTTTTTTTTTAAATTAATTTATCTTTATTGAAGTATAGTTGCTTTACAGTATGTGTTAGGTTCTACTGTACAGCAAAATGAATCAGTCATACGTATACATATTCTCCTTCTCTTCTGGACTCCTTTCCTATTTGGGTCACCACAAAGCATTAAGTAGAGTTCCCTGCGCTATAGAGCAGGTTTTCATTAGTTACCTATTTTACACATAGAATCAATAGTGTGTATATAAATCAGTCCCAGTCTCCCAATTGCTCCTATCCCCACTTCCCCCTTGGTATTGAGTAAAACAAATATCGCATATTAATGCATATATGTAGCATCTACAAAAATGATGTAGATGGTCTTACTTGCAAGGCAGAAATAGAGACACAGACATAGAAATCTGGGTCTATCTCTTTACCATTCTCTGCTTCAGTTTCCTTATCTATAAAGTGCAGTGTCAGGTTTGAAATGATTGATCTGTTTAAAGTTACTACCATAGTGCCTGGCACAAAGGAGACATTAAATAACTTTAACTGCTTATTTTAATTATCAGTATAGTGGTGATGGTGGCGATGGTGGTGCTGGGTGCAACAGGGTAACAGGTGATGTATCCCTGTTAGAACAGAGTTTATAAAAGTTCACCTAGTTTTCCACATGTTCAGTGAGAGATTTAAAGACCCTAAATATAAAGATATAACATCAGAGGTAATATTTTTGTCACCTCAAAAAATAATCATAAAGTCTATGTTAATACATTTAAATATAGTCATAAAATAACTTTAAGTGAGCAACAGTATAGAATAACATACACGCACTGATGTGTTTAAGGATGCAAAATTACATCTGTGCACCAACAAACGGGGCGTCCCAGGTGATGCTAGTGGTAAAGAACCTACCTGTCAATGCAGGAGATGAGACATAAGAGACTCGGGTTCAGTCCCTGGGTTAGGAAGATCCCCTGGAGGGGGAAATGGCAACCCACTCCAGTATTCTCGCCTGGAGAATCCCCAGGGACTTAGCAGCCTGGTGGGCTGCAGTCCATAGGGAAGCAAAGAGTCAGACATGACTGAGGTGACTTGGCATGCAGACCAACAAATGTGAGAGTCATATATCACAATTGCCATCAGTTTGCAATACATATCTCAAATACCTGTAGGCTGTAAACAATTATCTCATTTCAGCAATTAGGAAGCTGAAACACTGGAAGCTCAAGTGACTCATCGAAATAAAAAAGCTAGCAATTGGCAAATAGCTAGTAATTGGAAAACTAACCCTCTTTCTACTGTATATCAATAACTTTTGAGAGATTCATGCAAGCGATTTTAGATTTTAAATATCAGCCACCACTAACTACTTTTTCTTACTTTTTAGTAATAAAGAGAAGAAGCATTTTCACTTAAATAGGTGACATGGATTTCTACGTTCCTGAGTCAAAAGTGACATGGCGTAGGCCTCAGGTGCAGAGAAATAGGACTTCAAAGACAATTCCTACTCTACCGTGTTCTCTGCCTCATGCTTTTGCCTTTGTTCTGTTTGCAAACAATAAAGAGAAAAAGATGAGAGACTAAAGTCAAACAGTATCCAGAAAATACTCTGCCTGTTATCTCTCTTCTTGATTTGGCAATATGTAAATACTGATATTGTCAGCACACACAATAGGTGCAGCTTACCTATAAAGAATGAGTCCATAGTTGTAAGTTGTTTGTATGATATTTATGGACTCCCAAACAAACAAAACTAAAAATTTAGTATCACCACAGCAGAAACAAAACCACCTAAAATCTCCCCAGAGATGGTAAGATGAAACAGGACATTTAGTTCTAGAAGTGAACTAGCCACTAGGGATGAATCCCAAACCCACAAATTTAGGGGTTTTGTTTTACTTTTAGTTTAGCAGAAGTTCATATGCTTGATCTATTCTCACATATAACCATTCATGATAAAGCCATGTCAAAGGCACTTAGAAAGTCTTGCTTTTAATTACAAGACTAGTAAGGGATATTTCAAAATACTTTACCATAGTTTCCTCTGGCCTTTTTTCATGCACATCCTTACATACAAGTTGCTTTATAAAGTTGCAATCATAAACATATTTGCAAATCTATGTTCTACTTTTTCTAAATAATGATTATATTGATCATTATCAAATTAACTATCTATCTTCATAGCCATCATTGAATAGCTCTAATACATTTAAGAAATTGTAAAAACATTCTGAAAGTGAAACTGGGTCAGTCGTGTTCAACTCTTTAAGACCCCATCGACTATACAGTCCATGGAATTCTCCAGGTCAGAATACTGGAGTGGATAGCCTTTCCCTTCTCCAGGGGATCGTCCCAACCCAGGGATCCAACCCAGGTCTCCCACATTGCAGGCGGATTCTTTACCAGCTGAGCCACAAGGGAAGCCCCCAAAACATTTTAGGTCATCCTAATTTATTGGAGCCAGTAGATATATAATGTATATCATACACAGTGTTAAGAATGTGAACTTTTGAGTGAGATGGCCTAAATTTTGAATTATGTCTTAATCAACAGCTAGCTGTTCATCCCTTCTTTCTTTGTTACACCCACTTATTCAAAAAAATATATAGTGAGTGTCTACCATGTGTTAGACCTTGGTGGATACTGTGTATATATTTGATTTGATTGGACAGAAATATTCCCTAAATTGGAAGACTTCGATTGTTAAGATGTTAATTCTCCTTAAATTGTTTAATAATTAAAGTGGAATCAAAATTAAAATTTTGATTTTTTTTTGTTTGCTTAGGATATTAGGATGTGTATGTATATCTGAGTGCATGTGTATGTATTATGTGTATGGAAATTGACCAGTTTTAAAAACCTTATTAAAAAATGCAGAAGGCCTATAACAGCCAACCTAAAACAAGAAAAACAAAGTTGAGACTTTACCAGTTTGTAAGGTTTACTATAAAGCTATAATAATTAGGATCACATATACTGGCATAAATAAATGGAATATAACAGAGAACATAGAAGTAGTTTACTACGTTTATGGGGGCTTCCCTCATAGCTCAGTTGGTAAAGAATCCACCTGCAATGCAGGAGACTCTGGTTCATTTTCTGGGTTGGGAAGATCTGCTGGAGAAGGGATAGGCTACACGCTCCAGTATTCCTGGGCTTCCCTTGTGGCTCAGCTGGTCAAGAATCTGCCTGCAATGTGGGAGACCTGGGTTTGATCCCTGGGTTGGGAAGATCCCCTGGAGAAAGGAAAGGCTACCCACTCCAGTATTCTGGCCTGGAAAATTCCACGCACTACACAGTTCATGGGGTCACAGAGAGTCAGACAGGACTCAGTGACTTTAACTTTCACTATGTTTATGTTCATTTCAATTATGATTAACATGCCACTGAAATTCACCGGGGAAAGGACTGCCTTTTCAGTAACTGATGCTGAAATATTTAGGATCCATATAAGGGAAGAAAATGAATTTTGACCCTTATTTTACACCATACACAAAGATTAATTAAAGATTGATTAACAACTTAAATCTCAAACATACAGACAATAAAGATTCCAGAAAAAAATAGGTGAATATCCTCATGATCTTAATGTAGACTAGGGAACTAAAAGGACGAAGCAGAGGAGAAAAAAATAATACATTGGGTCTCAGTAGAATTAATTACTTAAGCTCTAAAATCATCATTAAGCGAATGACTGGGAATAAATATTTATAATACATATATCGGACAAAGATATATCCAGACTACAAGGGAAAATGAAAAAAAAAAGAGAGAAATGAGTAGAGTATATGCATCCATGAAAAGGCAAACCAGGATAATTGAATGCATATGCCCACCCATAGTCTTCTAAAGAAACATTTAGCTTTATTAATAAGAGTCTGGAATTGAAAATAACCCATCAATAGAAGAGTACATAAATAAACATAAATAAATGTGAGCTACTTATACAATGAAATACTATACACCAACAAAAAAGTGCATGTATATTTCTTTTTTGTATATATACATATGTATACACAAGTACTCTCCAGTTTTTGAAAGTTCATCATAAGCCAGTTTGCTTTTATGAGGGTTTCCCTCATAGCTCAGTTGGTAGAGAATCCGCCTGCAATGCAGGAGACCCTGGTTTGATTCCTAGGTTGGGAAGATCCCCTGGAGAAGGGATAGGCTGCCCACTTCAGTATTCTTGGGCTTCCCTTGTGGCTCAGCTGGTCAAGAATCTGCCTGCAATGTGGGAGGCCTGGGTTTGATCCCTGGGTTGGGAAGATCTCCTGGAGAAGGGAAAGACTACCCACTCCAGTACTCTGGCCTGGAGAATTCCATGGACTGTATAGTCCATGGGGTCGCAGAGTCAGACATGACTGAGTGACTTTCACTTTTTTGCTTTTATGAAAGACTTATATTAATATAGGGCTTCCCAGGTGGCTCAGTGGTAAAGAATCCTCTTGCCAATGCAGGAGATGTAGGCTTGATCCTGGGTCGAGAAGATCCCCTGGAGAGGGAAATGGCAACCCACTCCCAGTACTCTTGCCTGTGAAATCCCATGGACAGAAGCCTGGCAGGCTATAGTCCATCGTGTCACGAATAGTCTGACATGACTGAGCATGAAGGCATGCACATTAGTGTATTTGCTCGCTAACTGAAATAAATCTGAAATGGATTTTCAGTTTTATGAAAAGAAAAATTATTTCCTCACTTTATGCCATTTCTACTTATATTTCTGTTTCATAGGAATGCTCTATTTCCAAAGAGCAGAGGAAATCTGTTTGTATATACTTTTTATATATTTATATGCTTACTCGTATTTCCTTTTCTTCTTACTGCTTTCCATCTTATGGTTCGGAGATTTTCTCTCTTGTTATTCAGTCTTGAAGTCATGAATGACTCTTCAACCCCACTGACCACAGCACATCAGGCTTCCCTGTCCTTCACTATCTCTAGGAGTTTGCTCGAATTCAGATTTCTCTATTACTGCATCTTTATATTTGGCATTAATTAATCATGCTTAAAAGAGTTGATAAACAACAAAAACTTGCTCATCTTGAGTTGTGAGAAGGATTTGCCAACAATTCATCTTATCTTCATGATTTGGAAGAAAGAAAAAGGATGATGTTTTATACCAAGAGATTTTAAAATAACTTTTTATTTTCCAAAACATGGACACAGTCCTGTGTATAACTATTCAGTGTAAACTTTCCTTGAATAATTGTCATGATTTTACGAAACTAATTTGATGCAAGGAATTTATCATATAGCCTAGTTAAAATAAAAATGATTTTACATTTAATCACTTTTATCTTTATCCTTTTAGCCTATACCAAAATTACTGTAAGAAAGGATGAAAGTGAAGTCGCTCAGTTGTGTCCGACACTTTGTGACCCCATGGACTGTAGCTTACCAGGATCCTCAGTCCATGGAATTTTCCAGGCAAGAGTACTGGAGTGGGTTGCCATATCCATAAGAAAGGATACAAAGTAGAAAATAAGTGTGCTTACTTGCATTCTCTTTACACTAAGCCAAACTTAGCCATTTTGAATAAAATGCTCTACTTTACCATCAGTAACTTCCAAATATGCTTTTGTGATGATACTTCCGGCAACATTCAAAGTCTGGCAGATATAATAACCAACATCAGATCGCTGGACATTAGTAATAGTGAGGTCACCAGTCTGGGAGACTGAAAAACGGCTGGATGACTGTGGTGGCTGATATGAGAAAAGCAGATTCTAGAACCCAGAATTTGAGAGGAAAGAATAATAGGTTAATTGTTAGTTTCCAACATGTTTTTATGTTTTATATATTTATAAACAGATACTTAAATATTTATACATACACAAACATAATGTATGAAAATAAGCTAAATATTCTCTATCACATACCCACATAGACAGAGGTACACACACACACACACAAATGCACAAAGTTTAATAATCTAAACTTAAATGGGGTTATTTGAAAATTTAAATGAATTCTAAATATTGATATATGCCTTTATAATTTCAATGTCAAACAATACTATTTATAAAAGAATATGAGATACTATTAGAGTTAAATGTTTTACCTATTTCAGCAAAACAGACTTAAAAGCTTTGTTTCACATAGATGTGACTATTAGAATTCTAAACAGTAAATCTTTTAATATATAAACAACATTAAAATTTAAACACATTCCAACAAATTAAGTTTAAGGATATCATTTTGGTACCATCACAAGAATCTCTGTTACCTGTCCATTATAAAAGTTCAGTAATCTCAATCAAATTGTCAAGTTTCTTATTTTTCTGGTTAAATGGTGAGCATATCTATCATAGATTTTTAAATTCAAATACTGAATTTAAGAATTCATAACAGAGTTTTATTTCTGCAGAAAGTTATTTTAAAAACAAACTCTAGACAATATGTGATGCTACTTGGTGGTACAAATTTCTCTCTATGAATCTAAATATCTTGCTCATTGGAAGGAGTGTATATTTCATGCAAAGTAACATATAGTATCATTCTTTTTCATGAAATAAATAATAACATTTCTTCTAATCAAATAAATTTGCTACTTTTTAAAAATTTTAGGTGCCTTTTAACATGCATCATTTACAAAAGCTTAACTACTAGTACATGGATATGTATTCAATAACAAAATATTAAGAAACAGTGAGTTATTAAATCAAACCAAACCAAATAAAAATTATTTCAAATATGATATAGATATTAGATGACAATGAATGATCTATTTAAATAACTAAATGAATCATTTAAATATTATTATACTAAGAAAATATGCTAGTGGATTTACTCTTATTGATACACAGATATTCATATATAATATACTTTCAATTCTTCCTGTTCTACTAAAACATTTTTTTCTTGTCTTTAATTTTCTGTCAGCAAATTTTGTCCTTTGAGGCCCAATGAAATGTGTTAGAACCAGCCAAGATGTTAGAACTCAAATGATAGCCTCCATACCATAATCAAGCTGATATTCACTACCAAAGTGAAAATAAAAGTGAACTTGATGGCATGGTGTACAAATTATTAGTGAGTACAGTCAGTAAACTACCTCCATGTAATTTTTATGAACATAGTAGAAGTAAGGTCAGAAGACAACACACTCAAGGATGATTTAAACAAAAAATAAAGAAATAATTTTATTAAAAATGAATGAGAAAAATTTTTACAAGTATCAGAAACATGTAAAGGAAGATGTGTCCATTTATTGAAGAACTCAAGTCACTAAGAGATAAGGAAACATAATTTTAAAACTATTTTTAAATTTTCCTACTATTTTTAAAGTGAAAGTGTTTCAAAATTCCCTCTTTAATAAGCTGAAGTCCCAAAGGAAACTTAATTTTTAAGAGCACAGACCTCTATATTCTAGCTTCAATGTATACAAAAAATTCTGGTTTATAAAAATGTATAGAGAGTAGGACTTGACAGCAAAAGTGATCACATGTTACAGTTTTCAAAGAATTAAAATATACTGAGTTATATTCAATATAACATCTATGCTAAAGAGACTTGCACATAGTTTGACGAATCTTTAATTGATAGATATAAAATAGATAAAACATATTGTAGTGGTTTTTGTCCTACATTGACATGAATCAGCCATGGATTTACATGTATTCCCCATCCCAAAACCACTACAATATTGTAAAGTAATTAGCTTCCAACTAATAAAAATAAATGAAAAAATAAATAAATAAAAGCAAAACATAATTACACACACAAAAAATAGATAAAACATAAAGAAGCAAAGAATACACTTCAGATTCCAAGTGCTTTCAGAGAAATTGTACTGACATCATTATCTTTGTTTCAAATGTGTGAATATCTATTTTAAAATATAATTACAAGTATCTGAATAAGAGAAGTTAGAACTAACTGAATTAACTTAAGGAAAAAAGTTTTTTTTTAATGTGGCTGAATTGAAAATAAAGGAAATAAACTGGAAAATGGAAATAAATTGGGAATAAATTTTCATGATTAAACAATTACTATTCTATATACCAGCTGGTGTACCAAAACAAGGCAGGAAAAATTTGAGAATTAAAATTCTGTATTATTGTTGAAAAATGCAGGTGACTCAGATTTCTCAGTTCTCTTAAAGCAACTGCTATGTGACTAAATCATTTGTTGCTTTTTCTTTTCTTTTTTTTTTTTCATTTGTTGCTTTTTCTTATATACGTGGCATTCACCTGCTCTGGCTGACATGTTAGAACAAGGTCATACCTGACTCCCCTCTCTCCTCCAGAAGATAGCTGGTTGGGGGTTTCCTGTTGCTTCACACTGGAAAGTGACCGTTCGTCCCAAGGCAACCACCTGGTCACGGGGTTTCACAACGAAATGTGGAGGTTCTGAAGGAGATGAAACAGATTACCCTGAATCAAAAGCATGCCAGTCACTGTCCTAATTGAGACAATCTGCTGATGTTCCAAGTGCTGCCATTAGTTTATATCACTTGTTATGTACTATCCAGATATACATAATGCATCAATTTTCACTTTTAATTCAATTGAAGCTAAATGGTTAACTGCATATTCATAGAGTGGAATCGGAAAGTTTTATAAAGAAGTTTTTTTTTTAAATTACTTGATCTTCTAAGATGAACTTCAATGTTAAAAAGGCTTCTTGAGCTACAATTTGACCCTTTACATTCAACATATACTCGAAATGTGTATGAATAAATATTTCTTCTCATTTAGAGCTGCTTAAAGGTGTATGGACATTAATCTTAGACACAAGGACCTCCTGACGTAGGCAGGTCCTAAAATTACTTTAACTGAAAAGCTCCTGAAAGGCTATATGGAAGGTATAACCATTTAAAATCTTCAGTCCAATTACTTGAATGGAAATGAATTTAAAGCACTAGTGGAGTCAAATGCCTCTTTCATTTACATAGGCAAGGGCATGTTCAAACAGAATATATATGGAAATGAGGGTAAATTGGAAACATCTGCTCATCCTGACATTATAAATACTGCCAGCTTTGTCCAAACTGTTTGATTTATACAGACTTAAATGGCCACTTCATCCAGCAGTAAATAGAGTGTCAGAAAATTGTGTCAGTTACACTGAGAGCAATGCCAGCTGAAAACATTAGGTGTGCTGATGGAGTCACTGGCTTAAAAAAAAAAAAAAAAAAAAAAAAGCTTGTTTTGGTCTGTGCTTTATGCTTAGAAAAAATGTGCATTGAATTTAAGTCTTTCTACCTACTGTTTACACTTTTCAAATTCGTTTCTTATCAGCTGTCTGAAATGCCTAATTATTCTCCTTTCTTGTTTCAGTTCAAATTGAAGCAAATGTTTCAAGTCAGACATTTTAGTTTATATAGTGTAATCCACTTTTTAAGACTGTTCCATTATTTCTAACCTTTTCCTTAAAAATATGCTTAGTTACTTATGTCAGTCACTTAGGATAAGGTCCTAAAGTGAATATGAACCAAAGGTATACCCAGATTATGTTAACATACCAGTCTGCTCACAAGAATATGACTTCGTTAATGAAGGTGAGGATTTGAAATGGTACCGTTTTCTCTTGCTAAATATTTTTTTGGTCAATTGCATCTGGGACATATATACAAGTATTTATAATAACTAAAATATAAAGTTTATGAAATTTGTAAAGTATAAACTTTCTACATTTGTATGTATACAGGTGTGTACAATGAAATATAATACCTCTTTTAAAAAGAGAATGGATATGTAAAACAGCTTGCATGGTCACCAAACTGAAGAAAGCAATTATATTTCCTAACTTTTAGATGAGTGTGCTTTCTCCTATACTCCCTTTTTACTTTTAATTGAGGTTTAGTAGAAATTACATCATTTGACTAGAAAATTATAGGAGACCTGAAAAATCAGGGCAAATGCCTTCAAATGTCCTATAACTTAGAGGGAAGAAAATACAACATTAGGAGAAGAAGTTTAGCTCAATTTGGTAATACTGAAGTTCTAGCTTATAATTTTTTTAAACTCTGATTGTAATTGAGTGGTTTACCCATGACTTTGGTAAACACCATCATTATCCAGGTATAATAACAAGCGTGTGCATCATGGCCTGGGGATTTTCCTCCACACACATCCATACAGGAGCATTTGATTTCTTAGTTAAGGGTTAGAATAATTGACATAGCAATTAGACCAGAAATTGAAAGGACTAAGACTGGATAATAAGCTAAATCCAGAAAAGAGTTTGGTTTGTTTCAATGAAAGAAAACCAGATGATTTATTAAATGAATGGGAGACTATGACTTTCCAATATATGCAGGGAACCTGAGTAGGAAAATATAAATGTTCAAATCACTCAGACAAGTAAAAACTTAGGGTGGTCTCTTTTCTAAATCTCAGCAGCATGTGCCAGAATCCATGTTTCTTTTATAAAATGCCAGCTTGCCTGAAACCTCAAAGACGTGGGAACAAGGGATACAAACCCTTATGTTAACTGCATTTATCTTGCAGCAATCCTTCCACACAGGATATTTGCCTGGAAATGAATTTACTATATCTTATAGGCATATTCTCCAGCCAACATCAACAATGACACCAGCCAGAAGGCATGTCTCAGAAAAAATTCTTTTCTAAATGTATGTTAGATATTAGGTGTAGACATATCTCTAAGAAAAATTTTAAATGGATTAAATATGCTTCTATCAATCTTCTATCATCATTACTTATATTTAGATTGAGAAGGTTGGTCACCATGTGCATCTAATTGATGTTTAAATGTTGATGTTAAAAATGTTGGGATATTTTTCAAAGGCTACAAAATTTAAATTCACTATAATTAAAAATAGATAAACATGTTACTAATGTCACATATGTTCAGTGTTGGAAACAAAATTAGACAAGCAAAGAAAAAAAAAGAAAATCTACTGATAATGCAGCCATACATACTGGACTGTATAGTTTTAAAATATTCTCCTACAGTATCACTTAAGTGACTATTTAACGGTATAAATACTAAGTTACCTTCATTACTTAAGTAATCAATTGTCTTTAAATTTAGATTCTTTCTAATTCCCACTGTTAAACACAATGGTGAAATTAACATCCTTCTCAATTTTAGTCAAGTTTATTTCAACTGAAACTCTCCTCCCAAACCTCACAAACACTGAGTATTAACAAACTTGCCAAACTTAGAACAGAATCTCCTAATTGGCATTTTTATATTAGTGAGATTAAACATTTATTTTCACATTACTTTGCCATTAATATCCTATTTATTGTGGATATTGTGTTCCTGTGCTTAGCTTTTTGATTTCTAGGGACTAATGATAGACTAGTTTCATCCATTTCTCAAAAACATTATATATATATATATTTCCATTTATTAAAGTTTTTTCTAATGTAGTTGGGCATGTTTGTTGTTCAGTCAATATAATTATATGATATAGATCACATAATACCGAATAAATTGTATTACATAAATGTTTACTTCACTTTCATCTTTCACTTTTGCTTTCATTAAATTTGAATCCAGCTATAGCTTTGCACATATGGAAAGCTTTGCATTACCATTATTGAACAATCGATTTTCCTATCTGTGTTAGTATGAAATGACATCGTTAGAATATTTGTATAGCTTTTTAACTTAAAACATAGATTTTTTTTTTTAGGGTTAAAATTATTACATGGAACACCATACAGAAATATCCAAAAATGGTGCTCTAGCATCCTAAAAGTGTGTGAGTGGACACCTTCCCAAAAATATTGATAATGAAAGTATTCAAAAAATTTTATTTACATGACAACAGATCTTTATTAAAGCAAATTTTGATACATTTTAAACACATCATGTGGTTATTTCTTATATAAAATGAAATGAATCTGACACATAGAAATGAAAATGAGTGCAACCAGCCCTAAGGGCAAGGTTATTCACTTATAGGATTTTCAATGACTATTATTAAACAACAGTTAGATAAACTCAGACAGATATAGATGAATTCATAAACATATTTTAGATCTCCCAAACACAAATTGTCCTCTGGACACCTATTTTGTTCATTGTTTACCTCATGAGATATAAACTGAAATGGTACTTAATCAAGATAAAATCCTACTCCTTGTTTTATCAATCAAGGAGTTTAAAAAAGAGGGAAAAAAAATAAAAGGATGCAGATCACACACCATTTAATAAGATAAAATTAGCAACCCCATTACCTTTCACTCTTTGTCACAGTTACCCATACTTCCTGCAGACTTTATTCTGTGCAGTCTGTCTTTGTGGCCAATGACAAGTGAAACATGGAGGCTGATTGGTTGAAGGACATGGAAGGGTATGGATGGAAAAGGGCAAGAGAAGTTCCAGTCACAATGACACGATGATTAGAAGATGGCCAATAAAATGTCAACTTACCAGACCCAACTAAAACAAAACAAAAAAGAAAACATGGAATAAATAAAAATAAAGAAACTGAAAATGAAACAGAAAAAGTAGTAAGATTTGACTTAACCAATGATCTTTTCTTTTAAATAAAAAGAACACATTAATATTTGGATACATGGTTCATACTATCCATGAATGAATTATATTTGCTAGCATTGCTATATCACCATAAATCATTTAAGAAAAATAGAAATGAATCTTAAAATATCTACTTTGATTAAATGGCAGAGCTACAATGAATGATAGCTATAAAATTATAAAACACATTTCAATGACACTGTGCTACCAGATGACAGGATCAGATAACTATAAGTGTAATGGGTTTAAAAGCAAAAAACACTACAAATCTTTACTGTTAATGCCACATAGAATAGAAATCAAACATCTTAAACAAAGATAAAGTGTTAAATCTTGTAACTCCACCATCAAATTAATTTTTAAATGGTTCGTGCTGCCAATGATATTCTATTAAACCCATTCTTCTCATACTTGAATAAGCATTAGAATCACCCTTATATCTGGTTAATATACAGGTTATGATTATATAAGTCAGGACTATGACGAGGGATTTTGCAGAACCCAGGTGTTGCTGGTCCATGACCATCGGCTGAGTAGTGTCATTAATAAAAAGTGTGACATTTGTATCCTTGCATATTTTTCATTGAGAAAACAAGAAAAAAACGTAAACACATTATGAAAACAGAAAACTTTATAACACTAATAGAGTCACATTACCTGTTTTCAGGGCTGAAACATTGGATATTTTAACACAGAAAGCTTGAGTAATACATATTTAAAATATTGGAAAGCAATTGTTTTGCTCATTTAGAAACAAAGGTAATTACTGTCAAATGCAGAGCCTTTTCATAATAGCCCAGTAGATAACCACAATACATTTTACTCAAATAAATAATGCCCATGTCTTTCAGCAAGTCACAATTAATTAGACTTGATTGCATTTCTGTGC